AAGAAAAAAAAAAAAACAAAAATTTAAAACATTAAACAATTTATAAATATATATTTTTTAATTTAATTAAAGCTAATTTAATAAAGCTAATAATGTTTTAAATTTATTGTAAAATTACAATAGATTATACATTTTTTATAACATAATTTATTTTGTATTATTTCAGACTGACATTTACACCTGTAGATGTTTAAATTAGAAATTTAATTAATTTTCGATTTTTAATATAAATGATAAGCCAAAAAAATGACCAACTAGGCAGCACTGAGCGTAGTTATTCAATGCTACATGGAGATGCCGGGGTTTGAACCCGGGACTTCTCACATGCGAAGCGAGCGCTCTACCACTGAGCTACATCCCCCCATTTCCAATGCGGTAGATTGCTGTTATGCCACAATTACTTATGAAAGGACAATGAGTTTGTCGGGAATATTTCGGCCTTGTTAATCAGAAGGGAAGTAATGCCCTTGGAAAAGCCTAGCAGTAATTGGGCTGCACCGATATTTTGCATTTTTGACTGGCTTAAGTCATCGGCTGGCTTCTTCGTAAAAGAACAAAGGAGTTTTATGATGATTTAGTTCAATTTTCGATCAGCCAACGACTTAAGCCACTCAAAACAGTGTGTTATGTACTCTCACCTTAAGTACGTATATAGAAGTAAAAATTTTATTTTAGCCACAATGAATACGATGCAGTGAGAATTTATGCATTTGGAGTTACATATAATAGAATTTGCATAATCATGGTGCACTGCAAATTAAGAAAAAAAATATACAAAACAAAATCAAAATTGACATTTTTTTGTCAAATATTGTTCTGTTACAGAACCTGCAAGAATCTACTACTTTTGAATTTTTTTACGATATCATAAAGGAAAAATCGGTTATCTTAGTAAAAAGTTGTACTTTTTGCAGTTCTGTAACAGACCACATATTTACCCAATACGATTTTTTGTTGTTGTTAAAATCTGAGATTTTACTACAGGGGCTAAATTTTTGTTGACATATCTTTCACCGATTTGCTCCTTAATTTAAATACCAAAATCATGAAATCTTTATTTGAGTTGATAATACGGTAGATATAATATAATATTTTAGACTTCGCCTCCAATGGTTTAATTTTGTCACACTCTTTTCAACATTTCGGTCGATATCTCACGAATAAATATTTCAATATTGCCTTCCAATGCGTCAATATTGAAACGGCCTTGCTGTATAGAAATGAGCCTTAAAATTACATCACAAAAATAGTCTAAAACCCTCGATATAGGGGGCCAATTGACAGGTTCCGAACGTTAAATTTTTCCAGAACTCGCCTACCAATAAGGTCATTGTTACAAGTACTGTGCTGCCTGAGACACCGTCTTGTTGAAACCACATGTCATGCAAGTGAAGCTCATGCATTAGAGCAAAACAAGTTGGATATAATTTCACGGTAGCGTTCACCAAATGCAATCACGATTCGCAGTATCTGTAATAAAGTACGGTTCAATTTTGTCACCAGCATATAAATCTCACTAAACGGTGACTTTTTCTTGATAAATTGGAAGCTTTTTCAATGCTTCTGGCTTATATTCACTCCAAAAACCACAATTTATGTTATTTACGTACCAATTGAGACAAAAATGAGCTTTGCGCGCGATGAACTCTATTAACAGAAAATACATGTTGATAGTAAAATTCAATGTCTTGCAATCGTTGTTCGCTTGAAAGACGATCCATGATTAAATTATAGACCAAACTAGAGATTTTTGATAGTGAAATAAAACCCGAACCGTGTGTGAGCTGTTTAAACCAGTGCTGGCAAAAAAGGGAATAGTTAAAAAATCACCTCTTATTGGACAATAAAATTATAACATTTTTTGACAGGAAATTTGGTCGGGCTTACTAGCCGACCTTGTATAGGTTTGGTACCAGTTTTGGTCAAGCTCTATCAAGTTGTAAAAAGGTAGCCAATTTGGAATTAAGGTACATGTCCATAAAGAACTTTTCCTTATTGGCTTAACTCATCGGCTGACTTTTTCTTAAAATAGCAAGGACTCGGTTGGCGAACAATAAATGGATCAAAATCGAAAAATTCTTTGTTCTTTTACGAAGAAGCCAGCTGATGAATTAAGATAGTCAAGAAAAACCTTTTATATGCTCTCCTCTTTAGTCCCATGATTATTTTCAGTTTTGGTTGCAATTGACAAATTTGACATTTGGAGAGCTTTTTTTCCTGATACAATCAATTTAAAGTAATTCAAAACTCTACGGATGTTTACATTAAGAGACAAAATATTCATTATCTGAAGTTTAAGGCGGATATTCGTAAATCTTAAAATATATACCATTGTCCATTTGTTTCGCCATAAATCAATTATTTTATATAAAGAATTAAGTATTTAAATACAAACTACGTAAGAATTCTACAGCTTTTAATGTTTAGAGGACAACTTTCTTTAGAATGAGCCCAGTGTGGTCTAAGGGATTTCTCCTCCTATATCTTGTCTTCAGTCAAACTAAAACTTCTCCATTACTCCTAAAATTATTCAATTTCTTAAAAATTGAATTAGAGAGACTGGAGATGCCGGGGGTTGAACCCGGGACTTCTCACATGCGAAGCGAGCGCTCTACCACTGAGCTACATCCCCTCTTGACCCTTCTGGCGTACATGCCAATATTAAAAATTATTTTATGTATTGAAATTAGAGATGGTTTTTACATTGAATTTATACCTTTTTAATGGAAATTTTAAACTGTATCCTTATATACATTATATATAATTATTGAGGGAAAATTATTACCATGATATATTCTTAAATCGGTCAAATTAGATTCCTCCCAAAATTTAGGGATGGGATTCTAGGGAAAAGTGCAAAAATGGATTTTCATTTTTATATATTCTGCACAATTAATTATTTATCACTTTATCCTCTGTCGTAGTCGTAGTCGTCTTTACACACTGCTACTTTTATATTGGTTCCACATAATGGTAGCACTCAGAAATAGGTCCTGTGACTTTATGCGCAAATTTTTATTTAATTTCTAATTCAACGATTTTTTCAAATTTGTTCAACTGAATGAATGTTTTCAAAAGTTATAACAGGCCATGGTAAATTAAGAATGTAAAGTTATTTTAAATATGCATATCCATCTCTGTATTTTCTGTTATTTTCCTTGTTAAATTTCTGCATAGGAAACAGTTTCCCATCTCTGATTCCTGTATGTACAATAAATTCATAAATATATTCATAAATGACAATGAGATGTTGTCAAATAAATAATTTTGAAAAAATTGTAAACATATGATTGCATGACCTTACCTTCCTAATTCTACCATGTAACAGGCGAGTAGATTTTAGAAAATTGAAGGATATGGTTGACAACCCTGAACACGAGCTTTAAGTCTTTCGGATACTAATTGGATGAATCGCAAGATGAATCGTGAAACGATGCATGGCAAAACAAGAGAAATGGAGTCATTTACTAAATCGAATATGGCAATCCTTTTCTGAAGTACTCTACATGGTTTCTCAAATTAAATTTATTTTCATATATTTTAATAATATAATAATATTTAAATATCACGAGCGGCATATTTTACAAAAATAATACATAATAAAACTGTTATATGTTCTGAGGAAGGCGAATTTTATTTATCTTGTCTTGAGCGTAAACTTGTAAAAATAGAGATGTTAAACCCTTCATCTTAAAGAAAAATTCTCGGCGCAGTTAGTTCTTGCGTAGATCTCGAATAACGTTTTATTTTAAGCCAGCCTCTAAGGATAAAACCACCAGAAAACCCGACATTAAATGTTGGCAAAATCTTCACAATGCCTGCACTGTATAAAAGGGCATATTGCCAATTGATTCTGTATAAAAGGAAACGTGAACCTAAATACGAGTTTTTTGTTATAGCCTGTTGTTGAAATTTGTTACAATTCATGTGAATAATGTTGCTGAAATCATAAAAATACCGAGTATTGGAAGGTATCGTCATATGGGGGCTATACGAAGACGTGGACCTGCATACGAAAATTTTTGTCATAGGCTGTAGCACACATAACGAACTTCAAATATGAAATTTGAAATAATTCCGGTAAATAATGTCGCAAAAATCATGAAAATATGGAATATCGGACCGTTATATGGGGGCTATACGAAGACGTGGACCGACATGGCCTATTTAACCTGCCTACAGGTAAACTATGCATGTATGCAAAATTTTAGCCTTCTACAACATCGTTAGATCGTCTTGGAATTTTACGCTCATCCAGAATATATATACTTTGTAGGGTCTATTATAAATATTTCGAGGAGTTACAAACGAAATAATAAATCCAAACCCCAGAGTAGCCAACAGGAACATGTTGCCGTAATCTTCACTATACCACTATTCTGTCGTAAAACGAAAAGTTACCATTAGAATTTCCTGTAATGAATTTAATGCCAGTTCGACTGAAAATGCGGGATACCAGTATAATAGTACTACAAAGCTCGATATTGTCGATACAGATCGACTGTCCTAGCTGCAGTGAAATGATACTTTGAAGCAAAATTCAAACAATCTTTTGCCCATATCTATAGAAGAAGTACAAAATATACATTTGACAATGCATGAATATCAAATAACGATTGCATGAGATTACATTTGTAATTGGTTTAATATACAAACAAAATACTATGTAATAGAGTAAAGATATATGTAGAAATAGTCGTTTTACATATAACGAGTAATCTGACCATCATGGTGATACTTTGCAACATCCATTTTTTTCCATGCAGACTCTCACAAAAATGAGTAAATACTTATTTACAATATAAGCTCTTCAATATCATCCTTTTAATCATTTGCGTTGTATAGTCAACGGAATATTTTAATGAAATTAGCTTTTCTAGGATTTTTAAATTTTTATCGGGTTTGACCATGTAAAGGGCTTGATCTCTAAACAATTTAAAATATACAGCAATTGTATCAATTTCTCACCTAAAATTCTTTTTTTTTTATTTAAATTGCAGTATATAACATTTTGCATCGCAATATTTTGGATACAAATTGGTGGCGCCCAACATGAAGATATTCCCTATGAGAATGTTGAGAAGATTTGTGAAAAATGTGTTTGCATCGATAAACCGGCCGATCCGAAAACCAATCAAGTGGCACATCATCTCTTAAGTTGCACTGTCAAAGGATTCAAACACATACTAGCCAGATGGCCTGAAGAGTTTAACGCTCATCAGAAAGGTAAGCACGCATTAAAATGATTTGAAAGAAAACAAGTAAAAAAAAACCTAAATTCGATCGGGCGGAACTTTTAATACCCTTTGCCATTTGAATGGAACTTGAAAAATTTCAACAAAATTCCGAAAAACTACCACTTAAATGAAAACCGTTATATGGGGACTATACGAAGACGTGGACCTGCTTGCGTTTTTTTTCGTCATAGGTTGTAATATCTTCCAATACGAAATTTGAAACTATTCTGGTGATTAATGCTGCTGAAATCATGAAATACCGACTATCGGGTGGTACCGCTTTATGGGGGCTTTACGAAGACATGGACCTGCATACAAAAATTTTTGTCATAGGCTGTAGTACTCATTACGAACTTCAAATAATTCCGGTAAATAATGTCGCTAAAATCGTGAAAATACCGAATATCGGAAGGTACTGTTATATGGGGGCTATACGAAGACGTGGACCTGTATACTAAATTTTTTGCCATAGGTTGTAATACCCATTAAGATCTTCCAATACAAGTTTAGAAATGATTCCAATGAATAATGTTGCTGATATTATGAAAATACCGAATATTGGGAGGTACCGTTATATAGGGGCAATACGAAAACGTGGACCGTACAAATTTAAACTGCCTACTGGTAAACTATGCTTATATGTTAACTTTTAGCCTTTTATCTCCATTCTCTCAAAAGGTAGCTTGATTACAACAGACAGATGGACAGACAGACAGCAGAAACACAGACGGGCGGACGGACATCGCCAAATCGTCTTAGAATTTTACGCTGATGCAGAATATATATACTTTGTAGGGTCTATTATGAATATGTTGAGGAGTTACAAACGGAATGACAAAACTAATATATCCTCCATAGAATGGTTAGGGGTATAAAAACTGATCATTTTTCCACACACTGACTTAAAAAAATGTAATAACTTTCTTGATACTATATTACCTCGTCTAGATAATGTCATTGTGGCCAGCTTTTCGGGTAACACAATCGAATTATTACAGCAGCTACCTACCACCAATGCCACACTGAGTTTCGCTTGTCGTCATTGCTCTATTAAATATCTGCAATCGCCTACATTTATGGATGTACCGAATATTATTTCACTGGACTTAGCCTATAATGCTATAACCACTGAAGAATTGATACCGGATGTATTTAGGGGGCCCTATCACATTAGCAGTTATGAACCCATTGCATTGGCCGAATTGGATTTAAGTCACAATCATTTGCAGTCTTTAGACCGCCTGCTGTTCCAACATACACCCAATCTAACCAAATTGAATTTGGCGCACAACAATTTGCAAATTTTGGATTATCCCACAACGGCGGCATTGTCATCTGTTACACTTTTAAAGGTTGGTCTATTTTAGAGTTAGGTAATAAATATTTTATGTTTTGTTTTTCTCAATTTTTTTTAGAATTTAGATTTATCCTATACCGGTCTAAAAACAATACCGTCTGTGATATTTGAAAAGCTTACATCTCTGGAAATCCTTAATTTGGCTGGCAACGAATTTATTGCATTGCCAGAGAATTTCCAATTGATTGGTCAGTCGCTGAAATCTCTGAACTTGGCTGGTAACAGATTTACAGCCTTTGAAGAAACAAGCTTTTTGGGCCTTAAAGTGTTGACACATCTCAATATCAGTGGAATGCCCACATTGAAAGTTGTTAAGTACAATACATTCACTCGTTTGGAGCATTTAACGCATTTGGATAGTTCCCATAACACCAGGCTGGATACATTTGACTTTGACAGTTTAATGCATTGTGTTAATCTCACTTATGTAAGTATGAATTATGAATTAATTGTAATTTAGTTGTGGATTCCTAAATATTTGCTTTGGAATTTTGTTTAATGTAAACCTTCTAATAATTATTTTCAGTTGGATATCTCACACTGTCACCTAACATCGCTAACATTAAACATGGATCTGTCACCAATATTGAATAATACAAATATAACGGCGCCCAGTCCTTGGCCCAGACTTAAAACATTCCTAATAGCTGGCAATCCATGGACGTGCGACTGCAACCTTCTACAAGTATTGGAGTATGCTGGCTCCCATCATCGTTTGGAGGGTGATCAGAGTCGTTGTGACATGCCATTCATTTTGGCCGGTGTCAAACTGTCCAATCTGACAGCATCTCAAGTCTGTTCGATGCGAATACCTGCCAAATATCAAATTGTCGATGAAAATGCACCGCCACGTTTTCGTCGTAAGCGTTATATAATTCTGACCGTGATAACAGCATCGGTTGTCGTCGTCATGGGTCTAATCATTGGGCTAATAGTAGTGTGTATACGAAGACGCTTAAAACGCGACGATTATGGTGTGGAACCCATACGCTATACCAGTGTCAGGAGTAGCAATTTATCGGCATTTTCACACGGTCAAGCGAATGGCAATGGTACTAATGGTTCGGCAGGTACAAGAACCTCGGGTGTATGAAATTCCAAATGAAGAACTATGTATTTTTCTTTGTTTAATTTTTATAGAAAAAAATCCTAATTAGAATTTAAGTCTGATGATTTTCACAAACCATGTAAATTGTATTTTAATGATGTATGATTGTATTATTGTACGATTTTATATGAATTGTTGGCCAAAGATTTTTTTTTGTTAAATTGTGCGTGTGTGCTTATTGGTATATCCTGTCAATAGCATTGATTTGAAGGCATACTTACCTAAATGAATAGTGCTTAATTTATTTGTATATTTTTACCCCATAGGTTAAGTCACAAAATGCTGTATTGGAAATTAAGGTTTCGAAATGTAACCTCCTTGCCATAAAGTAGTGCTTAGAGATTTTATTTACGAATAAGTACATGATTTTTTTATACTTCGATTATTATATATTATATTGCCACTATAAATTATATTAATTGTATAAAAAGTTTATGAATATTTTACTATTGAAAAACTGCCGTGTAAAATTTAATAACAATTTTTGAAATAAAATGTAAAATTACATATTTTTTTAGAATTTATTTTCCACTATATATCTAATATATACTACTGTCAGGCACCGAAATAAGCTTTGCTCAATGAGATCAGTTTATACTGTCTCCAAAGGAAACTGAAATGTTTTTTTGTTGCCTTCGACGGTTTTCACCACTGGAGGTGAATACAATGTATTTATTGGAATGGTACCCATGGTAGAATACAGGTAGACACAATTAACGCTTTGAATGTTTGATTCCGATTTTTGAATGTTTTCTTATTTAACACCATGTTCCTATATGTGTTTTTAAACAATTTAGTATAATTTACACAGTTTTCCTTTAAAAACTTTCAATTTCAAAAATAAGTTTGCTGTCAAAATAAGATCAGTACTTTACACATGCATGGACAAATTTCCGATACCGAATTTAGTAACATTTAGTACGCATATTCAAAACAATCTACATCTCTCCATCCTAGACATCTACAGTGATCGAAAATTAGCATAATTTTTTCTTACAATTATAGTACACATTTCCGAAACGACCTCTTTATCACAAACCTACCAAGACAAAATTTCAGCTTTATTCGTTCACCTACATCAAACTGTTCCAAATTTTGTATACAGGGTGAGATGAAACAACTTCAACAAACTTTAGACTATTGTCATTTCTAAGCCATTACTGCGACAGCTGTTAAAATTATTCAAGTGACAGCTCATTTATTGTTTACAAGCGTACAAAAGCATTTTGGTGAGAATTTTCGAGAAAAAAGTTAATTGTGATGGAATTAAAGGGTAATTTCTTTATATTTGACTGAAAACCACAAGTAACTATCGTTAGAGCACTACAGCATTTAAATGTGAATAAATCTTTTGTGTCTCGTACCATCGCTCGTTACCGTGATACTGGTAGCGTAGCCCGACGCCAAGGAAGTGGACAGAAGAAAACAGCAACATCAGCAGAAATGGTTCAAAAAGTAAAGAATCGACTTAATCGAATCCCGCGTCGCAGTGGCCGAGAAATGGCTCAAGACTTAACATATCGCAATATTCCATTCGGCAAATATTGGAAAATGAGCTCGGGGTAAAGCCATTGAAATTTCAAAAAGTGCAAGAACTTACACTACAACAGAAAGAAAATAGACTCAAAAGAGCTAAAGAGTTGCTTCGCTTGGCCGAAAGTGGTGAACTGCCGAATTTGGTTTTCTCCGATGAGAAAACATTCGTTGTCCAGCAGTTTGTAAACAAACAAAATGATAGCGTTTACTTGCCAGCTGAAAATGTGCCCCTTCGGTTGGCCACCAGAACTCAAGCGCCGGCCATGGTTATGGCGTGGGCCGCCATAACAAGCGATGGTCGCTCTACGCTCGTATTAATCGATCGTGACATTAGAATAAATGCCGAATATTATAGCGAAAATATTCTGGAGGGTGTATTAAAGCCTTGGGTATACAAACATTCCAACTGGACTCAGCACCATCGCACTCAGCTCGCGTCCCACAGTAATGGTTACAAAATGAGGTTCTTAGCTTCTTTTCCAGCGCACAATGGCCACCAAAATCTCCGGATACCAATCCGTTTAACTATTTTGTCTGGAGTATTTTGGAAAGCAAGATTGGTACTAAAAAATACCAAAGTGTCGATCACCTCAAGCAAGCGTTAAGCCGGGAATGGGCCAAAATACCGCAGAACAACATTCGGACAGCGTGTGATTGATTCAACAAAATTTAAAAAAATGTAAAAATTATGGCGTTTGACTTTGTTGCAGTTTTTTTTATCTCACCCTGTAGTTCGCACAGTTAGTACTCATTCCCAAAACCTCCTTCATATAACAAATTTACTTTCCAACCTTGATTCTCATTCCAAATTTCATTACACGGCTACGCACCAAGCCTGACAGTCGTGCAAAATTTCACGATTCTAACTTCAGCCGTTTCGTCTGGTCGTTGATTCTCACTAACTCAGTCAGTCAGTTATTTCTATTACTAAGCTAAATGAATACGGAGCACCTATTAAGTTATATAAGACATTGTATATTTTAACATCAAAAGTATTAACATAATAAAATCGTTTTATCTTTTCTTTTCTTTTTTGGTTACATCTTTTTAAGGCCAATTATAAACGTTGTCTTATAAATTATAAAAAAGAAAAAAAATATTTAACATTGCTGTTATTAACGCTAATTTTAAATACACTTTAAAAGCAATGCAGCAAAAGCTCCGAGAATGTTTAACACTCGCTTTCCAAAATGTCTTCTTCACCCAACGCATTAGATGGAGTGGGCGGAACATCCAACTTAAATAGATTAATTGCAGGTTTTTGAGCCAAAAAGTTGCGCATTTCAGCAAAGTTATCACGTTCTTTTAATTTCTTGGTACGGCGTTCATACTCTAAATCGGCACTGCCCTCGCTGCCCTCATCTGAAACATCATCGTCAACTTGTTTTTCAGTAGAATTACACTTTTCCTCAAAACTTTCACAATCTTCATTGTCAAACAGCTCATCGACATTTATTCCCTTTGCGGCCAAGACTTCACGTTCCTTTTGCAACATGACCTTACGTATCGGATCAATGCGTCCCTTAAGCTGTTTCAAAACTGGTTTAAAACGCCCTTTGGTTATCCGTTTCTCGAAATTTAATATTTCCAAGTCTTCTTTACGCTGTTCCAGCTGTTCCTTCTCTAATTGTTCCTGCTCAAGTTTAGCCTGTTTTTCGTCAAACATATAGGCATAAAAGTCATCTGTCTTTTCTGCATCGTTGGGGTTTTGTGAAATTTCTACACGTAGGAAGCTTTCGGGAAATTCTTCATCGGTATCCAGAGATTTGGTTTCACTCTTTTCGCTCGGTTCCTTCAAATCCAGTTTGCTATTCAAGAACTTGTTATAGACCAACATAAGACGCTGGAAATCATCGAAACATAATGACAAAGCGTTCTCAATACTGCGCATGTTATTGGCAACTTCTACCATATGCTTTGCATTATCCTTTTTGACATTTTCCGTTTCTGTGAGCCTCTGTAGGGTTATGTCCAAAGCTTGACATTCTGCTGCCACTGCCACCATACATGCGCTGAGCTTCAACGATGAATCTTGCAAAATTCCAACCGGATCATTTCTTGTCCTTAAAGCTCTGTTTGCATTGAGCTCTTCTAATTCTAGAGATTTTTTCTTGTTTTGCTCTATGGCAAGATTTTTGAAGTGGTTTTCTTCTTCCAACACTAACTGTCTGATAAGGCATTCGATTTTAGCCAATTCTTCATTTAGACGGCTCAACGATGGTTTTGTGTAAATGGTTAAAGCTAAACGTAGAAGGAACTGTGATTGAACGTAGGCGAAGATATTATGAAAATCCTAAAAAAAATATAAAGTTATGTAAGTTATAGTTATAATAAAAATTTGTTTTAATAAGGCTGGTTTCAAAATCAATTCAAAAGCAAAAACCCGCAATCAATATGTACAGAAATAACCAGTTAAAGATGCAAAAATCGGGTGACACCATCCATACACCACTCTTCAAATCAAATTTATCGTTATCGAATGCATTATATGTATAAAAACTGATTGAATTGAACATGTACATCTAAATTATAATTAAGTTCAACTTAATAATTTCTAGACTGTTTGTAGTTACTTGTACTAAATACCATTGCTATCGAGGGGATATTATCGGTTTCCAATGAGGAAAAATGTCAATTTCTTATAGATTTTATTCGTCCTAATTGACGTGCATAATATAGATGAAATTGGAAATATTCATACATTCAAGCTTAATCCAAATCTTACAGATTATTCCTTGAGGCAGACAAGTGAACTGCGCCCAATGTTATATCAATTGGACATTAAATGTTATTTTTACTTTGCTCAAAAAAACACAGGGATGGGCATCAAGAAATGGACTCATAAGGAACTAGTCTCGTTTCCCTTAGCACATAAAAACAAATTCAAAGGGGCAATGCCCTTTTCCGTGCTCTGTAAAAAGAATATTGCTAAATCGAACCAAGATTTTCTATTTATCACGCTTACCTATGTATATTATTAAATCTCAATTTCTTCGGAAACAACCTCCTATTTCGGAATATAAAAATTAACTAACTTGTCTCTTTCATCCCATTTGGATGATCAGATAAAATTTACAAATTATAAAATCTTTAAAATATGATTTATGTTTTCAAAAAAAAAAAAAGAATCTGCCAATAGGATACGAAAATTTCTTGGTTCTAAATATTATATGTAATCGGGATTCAAATATTCTTACTTTTTAAATATTCCCACTTACTTTAATATGCTTTGGACTATAGTCAGTAACGTTAGTTTTAAAATAGTCGCATTCTTTTAAGTCTTCCATTGGAGCATAATACTGTGAAAATCGCGCTGGTAATGGATATTGTGATTCTAATTTTCGGGTCGCTTCAAACAAAATTTCAGTCACTTCCTTGGCTGCCGTAATACAATCCCAAGCCCTTTCAATTTGACGGGACCTAATTTGTAAATAAAAAAGGTTATATATGTATGCAGATTTGTGTTGAAATTATTTTGCAAATCACATACTCTATCAGTTCTTGTTGTTTCATTATAATTATCTCATTGAAATAAGTCATATTACGTCGTATACAATTTCCAAAGTCATCAATTGTGCGTATGAGATTCTCAAATTCACGTTCCACGATTTTATTGCGAAAACCGAAAACTTTTTTCACAGCATACAAAGCGCTAAAACTGCCAGCAACAACTGCCGAGGGCACCAAGAGAAGACGCAGTGCACGTGGTGTTATAAAATGTTCCAAAACAGTGGAACCTAATAACAGGCAAGTATTGCGTGCTGTAAATATTTCTGGCCATTGTGCTCCTATTCGCAACGCGTTACTTGTTTGTGCATTCGAATCTGTTGCATCGGCGCCGGCAGAAGATTCAATTGTCTCAAACGACCTCTCTTGCATGTAGGCCATGCATTGTTCCAGAGCTTCAACATGATCGACCAGCAATCTTTTAGAGTATAGAATTTTATTAATTAAGCTGTCGGTCGCCGCCTGCAAAGTATTTCAGACAAAAATAATGTAGAATATTTCGCACATACATATATCATTATCAATGTGTCCTTACCTGTTTTTGCTTTAGCTCTTCCGACAGTTGGCGACTAAGGTGCTCAACCTATAAAATGCAGAAGCAAAGAAATGTAAATCGGCACCTGCAAATGTTATGTAAATACTAGCGACTTATTCACCTTCATAATTATTTTGTGTATTTGTTTATGTGCGTATCAGGTAGTATTTTAATGTTTTTCATTTATTATTAGAATCTTCATTATTTTGTCGAGTCTAGGGATAGGTAAGTCGACTTCCGATTAATTGAATAATCGACTTTTAGTACTCAAAGTTCTCAAACTCGACTAAGGACTTGGGTGCAAAACCAAGTACTCGGTTACTCATAGTCGATTTTTCGACTTATGCTATGTTCTCATTGCAATTTCAATCACGTTGTTCGCTCTCTCTTTGTAGTCGTGCAGTTCCTGGTTCAATTGAACGATTCACTCAATGGAGCGACTGAACTAGGTCAGCCAAAGTCGTTCTTTTCAGTTTATTAAAAGTGCGAATGAATGAAAAAAATTTGTTTTCAGTTAAGTTCAAAACTCTTGCTCCCATGATACAATGAATTCAAGGTAGGGCATAACTACCATATGATTTTAATTTTTTTATTTTTCTGGCTTAATATGTCAACTTCATTTGTTTATGTGTGCGTATTCTTTTCAATAATAAAAAAATTGTTCAGAAAATATTCAAATTCGGGTGTTTTCAAAATGCTTATTGCGACGTATGCATCGACAAAATCTACAGTTTTTGTCGCGAAATAAACAATAAGAGATATATAGGACATGATTTTGAAAAGAAATTTTGACTTTTCATTCAGTTTTCGCGGTTTTAAATTATTTATTCATAATCAATGCAACAAGTTGTTTGCTTTTTTATTGTTTTGATAGTAATTCTGACATTACAAGCCAAACAGGTAGACCTCCATACTTGCAATATTTTCAAAGTTAACCTACCTTGTATTCATTGTACCATGTTTGCTCCTTTCCAAAACCTACAAGTATATATTATGGGCCGCAATTGAACTAAATCAACCTAAAACTTCTTTGTTCCTTTAGTGCCTCGGGGATGGAGACCTAGTTTTTATCCTGTAAAATTTGACAAGGTAAATTACAGAAAATACAGAAATGTTACTCTATGTATTGTAGACACAAACCATTTGTTCAAAATGCATTTTGTCTAGTCTTTACCATTTTAGATCGTTGACCAGCGTATGTATTGTTATTATGTGATTTTTACCTCATTAAATGTTAAAATTTTTTCAAAACCATATACAAGAAGACTGACGCTGGCGAGAACTTATTTTTTTAGCTGCATATTGAGAAGTCCTTGTATAAAAAGGCATACACCTCCGCTCATCAAAATTGGTCGGAATGTACCCATATATTTTTATTAAACTTTTTATATACAAAAAAAAAAACCGATTGTAAGCTAAACACATCGCAATATTCCATTCGGCAAATATTGAAAAATGAGCTCAGGGTAAAGCCATTGAAAAAAAGAACTTACACCACAACAGAAAGAAAATAGACTTAAAAGAGCTAAAGAGTTGCTTCGCTTGGTCGAAAGTGGTGAACTGACGAATTTTGTTTTCTCCGATGAGAAAACATTCGTTGTCCAGCAGTTTGTAAACAAACAAAATGATCGTGTTTATCGCCAAAGAAAATTGAACAAATCTCATTTCAATATCCAATACACATATATAAACAAGTAAAAAAACTGTAAGTTCGACCGGGCCGATCTTTGAATAACCTCCACCATTTGGAACGATTTTGGCAATTTTTATACCCTCCACCATAGCATGGAGGGTGTATTAAGTTTGTCATTCCGTTTGTAACACCTCGAAATACACATTTTAGACACCACAAAGTATATATATTCTTGGTCACAAAAAATTCTATGTCGATTTAACGATGTCCGTCCGTCTGTGGAAATCACTCCAGCTTCCGAACAAATTGAAGTAGATTGATAAAATTTTGCTCAAATGTAGTCTGCAGGACTTTTGGTATTGAAAAAGGGCCATGTAGGTCCACGTCTTCGTATAGCCCCCATATAACTGTACCTCCCGATATTCGGTATTTTGATGATATTCTATATTCTTGATCAGCATAAAATTCTATGCCGTCTGTCCGTCTGTGGAAATCACTCTAGCTTCCGAACGAATTGAAGTAGATTGATAAAATTTTGCTCAAATGTATGTTATGTCTGCATAGTATTTGGGCATGTAGGTCCACGTTTTGGTATAGCCCCCATATAACTGTACCTCCCAATATTCGGTATTTTAATGATTTTAGAGACATTTTTCACCAGAATTGTTTCAAATTTCTTTCGTTCGTTCGTAATGAATACTACAGCCTAAGACAGAAAATTGCTGTGCAGGTTCACCTCTTCGTATAGCCCCCATATAACGGTACCTCCCGATATTCGGTATTTTAATGATTTTAGAGACATTTTTCACCAGAATTGTTTCAATTTTCTTTCGTTCGTTCGTAATGGATACAACAGCCTACGACAGAAAATTGTCTGTGCAGGTCCACGTCTTCGTATAGCCCCCATATAACGGTACCTCCCGATATTCGGTATTTTGATTTTATCGACATTATAACCGTTTTTTTAAGTTTCGCATTTCAATATTGTAATGGATTATGACAAATGTTACCTACGTAGGTTCGTGTCGTCGTATAGACCCTAATATAATAGCTACATTCGGTATTTTTAAGATTTAGCAGAAGTTTTAACGGATTTTATTGTTTTTGAGAATTGCCAAATTCGTTCCAATTGGTGGAGGGTATTCAAAATTTCGGCCGAACTTACAGCTTTTTTACTTGTTAAAAAAAACCCGTTAAAAAGCCTTTTAAGATCTTAAAAATACCGAATGTAGCCGTTAGATTAGGGTCTATACGACGACGTGGACGTGCACAGGCAACTTTTGTCATAAACCATTACAATACTCAAATGCTAAACTTGAATAAAAAAATCAGTGAATATAGGGAGGTACTGTTATATTGGGGCTACACGAAGACGTGGACCTACACAGACAATTTTCTGTCATAGACTGTAGTATCCATTACGAACTTCATATACCGAATTTGAAACGATTCCGGTAAATAATGTCGCTTAAATCACCGAAATACCGAAAAATTTGAGATACCATTATATAGGGGCTATACCAAAACTTGGACCTACATGACCATTTTCAATACCAAAAGTCCTGCAGACATAATATAAATTTGAGTAAAATTTTATCAACCTACTTTATTTCGTTCGGAAATTAGAGTGTTTTCCATAGACGGACGGACATCGCTAAATCGACATAGAATTTTATGCTGATCAAGAATATATAAACATTGTGGAGTCTAAAATGTATATTTCGAGGTGTTACAAACGGAATGACAAACTTAATGTACCCTCCATACTATGGTGGAGGGTATAGAAATAAAATTAAACATGAAAGTGACTAATACAAGCCAATTTTATTTAAGTTATCGCTTAATATTGAATCACGTACAACATCGAATACAACTTTAATATTATTTGTGTCGGTGGCACACGTGAAATGTTTAAAGGTTTTCTGCCGCGGCAAATCTTTCAGGAACATATTTGCTATGAAATCCTTCGCAGCTTCATAGTTCTTCTTGGGTCCGGTAAATTCAGGAAAGTACGCATCCAGATCCGAGTACATTATTTTCTCGTTCAGCAAGTCAATTTTATTGAAAAACACTACAATGGCCGTATCGTGGAACCACTGGCTGTTGGAAATTTTATGAAAGACATTTCTCGATTCAGTGAGACGATTTAGTTGATCAGTTTCTCGCAACACTTGGTCATACTCGGAAATAGCTGTCAAAAATATGATAGCTTTCACGGTGTCGAAACAATGCATCCACTTCTTACGTTCCGAACGCTGTCCACCGACGTCGGTAATTTGAAATTGTACTTTCTCCACCCTGAAAAAGTAATCAATCAGACCAGTTGTTTTTATTCTCACATTTAGGATATCGCTATCGGTTGGCAGATAAGATGGTTCCGCTATGCGGTCTACATTTTCTATAAAATATCTGGCCGAGTCAATTAGTTGATACTTGTTACGATTCCGAAAACATTCTTGAATTCCGCCATCTTGCCATAATTCCTTTATATACAATAGATACGTTTCCAGAGAACAGGAGAACGTGTCAAAATCAGCAGAAGCAATTATCTCGGCATTTCGTTTATTGGCCTTATTTTCATACTCTATGTTTAGGGTTCGCATAGCTGCGACCATTGTTTGCATTGCGTTTAAAATGTTCTGTTTAATGCTGTGAATATAATCACGTCGTTGCTCGTCAGTAAACCCATCTTTGTAGATAATTTGCATTTGTCGTATAAATGTTGATTTTCCCGATTCTCCGGTACCCAATAGTAAAAGCTTGAACTTGGTCCCTTCATCGCGTTTGCTCCGCTTGATTTCGTTATTAATCTTTTTGTTCTGGATATCAGCATCACTTAAAAAACAGTAGCAACAAAACATTCTGCGATCAAATCCTGTCGAATATTTCAAAATTTCGCCTTTTCCCCGAGTCGTTTGCACCGTATGACAGTTTATTGCGGTATGATTTGCAATAAAAATTATTTCAATTATTTTCGTTCGGATTACTCAAAACTTATAATTAACTACAAAACCAGCGTTTGTAAACATTATATATTGCGGTTATGTGAGCTTTGTGCGGCACTGCATAAATCTAAAAAATCATGCAGATGTTTCATTAAACTAAAGCTGTAAAAACGTTGAGAACGCCTTTATAATTGGTGCTATTGTTGGTTATTGCCATAACTTCGATATAAATACGACCTTTGTTTCTCCTGAAATATCTCTGTGTCTGACACAGGATTTGGAAACATGACGGAAAACTGATGAAAATCTGCCACATCTTGAGTGACAGAAATTGGACCTTACCTAATACCCGACGTGCCGTAAAGAAATATCCCTACAATGGAACGATATTTATGGACCATATTTTCACGTATCTTGAAACAAAAATAAACAAAACAAATAAAAAGACACTATGTTCGACCGGTCCGAGCTTTTAATAGTCGCCACCATTTGGAATGAATTTGTTATACTTAAAATAAAAAAAGTTATAATTGCCGCTATAATTTTAAAAATTTCCGAATAGCTTGTGTTGCAGTTATATGGGGTTATACCGAAATGATGGTCCCTATAACGAAATGATCAAAGGGGGAAACGAAGCGCACCAGTATAAAATCGACCACCCAAAAAAACTGAAGAGCTACCATCGTACTGGAATTTAAAAAAAAATACACTACAAATATACATTCAAAAATAGTAAGTTAAAATCAAGGTGTAATTGACAATCATATGGTTTCTAACATTTTAATAATTTTAATAAAATTGTCAAATATAAGTTTTCACATTACCTTGCTTTGAACGTTACTTTTTCACAATAAAAATATGATTTTTTTGTTTTTTGAACTCAACACAATAACTTGCATTTATATTCAATTAATCACAATGCGAAAGTGTATTAAATGGGACCTTTATTTTTGTCCCAAAGAACGAATGTTGAAGACGAGGTTGGACTCAAATATGCGGGTTTGAATTGTCTATGAAATCGTGTATATGCGAAGACCATTTCTACCACTTTAATATAATAAAAGAAGATAATAGAAAACTACCAACTTAATTACAATTTGTAGAGCGGTATTTGAAAAAGAATTGTCCTGAAAGAGAATTGTCCATATAGGTCCACGATATCATGTATCCCCCCATATAACGGTGACCCCGATATTCGGTATTTTGATGATTTTAGCCACATTTTTCAATGGAATTGTCTGAAATTCCACACAAGGAGTTCTTTGTGAGTACTTTACCCCATGAAAGAGAATTGTGTATATAGGTCCACAATATCGTATATCTCCATATAACTATAACCCCGATATTGGGTGTTTTGATGATTTTAGCTACATTTTCCAATGGAATTGTCTGAAAATCCACACAAGGAGTTCCTTGGGAGTACTTATCCCTTGAAAGAGTATTATCTATATAGGTCCACGATATAATATAGCCCCCATATAACGGTAACCCCCGATATTCGGTATTTTGATGATTTTAGCCACATTTTTCAATGGAATTGTTTGAAATTGTACACAAGGAGTTCTTTATGAGTACTTTACCCCCTGACAGAGAATTGTCTATATAAGTCCACGATATCATATATCCCCCATATATCGGCAACTTCCGATATTCCGTATTTTTAAGATTTTAAGAGAATGTTTAATGGATTTTATTTTTTGAAAATATCTTAATTCGTCCGAATGGTGGAGGGCCGGGCCGAACTTACTGCTTTTTTACTTGTTTTAACTATCCTTTTTAGTAACAAGTCAACATCCAGCAATATTTTGGATAAATTGCTATAAATACATATCGTGTTTAGTACATTAAATACACGATATCAGTCGAAAATGTATATGGCAAATTCATTTTTGTACCAAATTCCGTCATTCATTCCGAATTTCATTGGAAGCGGACGTACAAATCGTGTTTGGCAAATAGCTACATCCAAATCTTAACCGATTTCAATGTAATTTGGCGAATTTATTTTGTATCTTTATACGTTTCATACTTGAAGACTGTATCTACAACCGATCAATATGTGCATACAAAATTTAAATTTTTGGAGTTATCTCCGATTCCGAAAATCAGTTTAGCTTTTTTATACCCTCCACCATACATAGTATGGAGGGTATATTAAGTTCATCATTCCGTTTGTAACTCATCGACATAATCATTTTAGACCCAACAAAGTATATATATTATTGATCAGCGTAAAATTCTAATTCTGTCCGCTACAGTCAAAACGAATTAAGATAGGAAGCTAAAATTTTGCACAGATTTCTCTTTTGTCTGCAGGCAGGTCAAATTCGAAGATGGGCTATAGCGGTCCACGATATCGTATAGCCCCCATAAAACGCCCCCCCCCCCCCTTTATTCGGTATTTTGATGATTTTAACCACATTTTTCAATGGAATTGTCTGAAATTTTACACAAAGAGTTCTTTGTGAGTACTTTATCCTCTGAAAGAAATTGTCTACGTAGGTCCACGATACCGTATATTCCCCATATAAGGGTACCCCCCGATATTCGGTATTTTGATGACTTTAACCATATTTTTCAACGGAATTGTTTGAAATTGTACACAAGGGGTTCTGTGAAGGCACTTTACCCCCTGACGTACATTTGTCTATATAGGTCCACAATATCGCATATCCCCCCATATTTTGGCACCTTCCGATATTAGGTATTTAAACTTTTTAATAGAATTTTTAATGGATTTTATTTTTTTGAAAATTTTCTAATTCGTTCCAAATTGTGGAGGGTATTCAAAGCTCGGCCCGTCTTTTTTACTTGTTTTGAGTCTAAAAATTACAAACAAACAAGGAACCATACGTACAGACATTTTCCTCTTTTATAAGTATAGAATATTATTTATGAGTTAAAATAAAATAAACGTTTCGTGATAGACGCAATTAATTAACTTAATTTACATAGTAGTATCGGTTCATAACTTTTGTTCCCACATATAGACCTCGGGAACTGCAGGTGGATATGATAAGTCGTACATCTGTGATCTTATGAATGCTCTCTTGTCATTTGGTTCAGGACGTACCGTAGCCAAACCTGAAATGATACAAACAAAAAGTAGTTCATTCTTTATATATACATAAATGTACCAGATTTGTTTACACTGGACTGGGCTATTATCATACAACTGTTTTCGGTCAAGGTAAAATAATAAGGTAATGGTAAAGTTACTACCACCATTTCGAACGAAATTGAAAAAATTAAAAAAAACCGAAAACTACCACTTAAATGAAAACCGTAATATGGGGACTATACGAAGGCGTGGACCTGCATACGAAATTACGAACTCCACATGCGGTGAATAATGTCGCTAAAATCATCAAAATACCGAATTTCGGGAGGTACCGTCATATGGGGGCTATACGAAGACGTGGACCTGCACACGAATTTTTTCCATAAGTTTTAGTACCCATTAAGATTCGAAATTTGAAATGATTCCTGTGAATAATGTTGCTGAGATCGTCAAGATACCGACTATCGGGAGGTACCGTTATATGGGCGCTATACGAAGACGTAGACCTGCATACAAAAAAGGTTGTCATGGGCTGTAGTACCTATTACGAACTTTAAATAAGAAATTTGAAATAATTAAGGCAAATAATGTCTTTAAAATCATGAAAATACCGAATATCGGGTGGTACCGTTATATGGGGGCTATACGAAAACGTGGACCTGCATACAACATTTTTGACATAGGCTGTACTACCCATTAGGATCTTCTAGTAAGAAATTTGAAACGATTCCGATGAATAATGTTGCTGAAATCATCAAAATACCGAATATCGGGAGGTACCGTTGTATGGGGGCTATACGAAGACGTAGACCTGCATACAAAAAAGGTTGTCATAGGCTGTAGTACCTATTACGAACTTTAAATACGAAATTTAAAATAATTATAGGAAATAATGTCTTTAAAATCATGAAAATACCGAATATCGGGAGGTACCGTTATATGGGGGCTATACGAAAACGTAGACCGACATAATCAATTTACAAATTTAACCTGTCTACTGGTAAACTATGCATGTATGCAAAATTTTAGCCTTATATCTCACTTCGATAGGAAGATAGTGTAATTACAACAAACGGATAGACAGTCGGACAGACAGACAGAAAGACGGACGGACATCGATATATCGTCTTAGAATTTTACGCTCCATAATATATATATATATATATATACTTAATAGGGTCTACTATGATTATTTCGAGGAGTAACACACGAAATGACAAAGTTAATAGAATGGTGGAGGTATAAAATTTTCAATCTAGTGATTTTTATGATATTAACCTGTTTGCCATGGAATGGACAGTTTGGAAAAATGAAAACAACTTGTTATAAACTTCAAATATTTTGGAAGGGTATATTAAGTTTGTCATTCCGTTTGTAACACCCCACAAAGTATATATATTCTTGATCAGCATAAAATTCTATGCCGATTAAGCGATATCTGTCCATCTGTCCGCCTGTAGATATCACTCTAGTTTCCGAACGAAATTAAGTAGATTGATAAAATTTTATTCAAATGTGTATTTTGTCTGTAGAACTTTTGGTATTGAAAATTGGCCACGTTTTGGTATAGCCCCCATATAATGGTACCTCCCTATTTTCGGTATTTTGGTGATTTTAGCGACATTATTCACCGGAATTATTGGTATTTGAAGTTCGTAATGAATAATACAGCCTATGACAAAATATTGTCTGTTCAGGTCCACGTCTTCGTATAGCCCCAATATAACGGTACCTCCCTATATTGGAAATTTTGATGACATTACACATTATTCACCGATATTCTTTTAAATTTGGTTTTTGAATATTATAATGGCTTATGACAAAAGTTGACTATGCATGTCCACGTTGTCCCTAATATAACGGTTACATTCGGTATTTTTAAGATTTTAACAGAGTTTTTAACGGATTTTATTTTTTTGAAAATCGCCAAGTCCGTTTCAAATGGTGGAGTGTATTCAAAGATCGGCCCGGCGGAACTTACAGCTATTCTACTTTTTTGCTATTATAGCTCACTAACGACCAACGATTCGTGTGATATTTCATGTTCAAGCGTCTTCAGTTTGGTCTAGAATTTAATCATGAATTGCATTTAAAACGAACAACGCTTGCAAATCACTGAAGTTCATTATCTAATTGCGAGCTCTTTTAAAAATATCGTTTATTGGGAATTTGTGTTTATTGTCGAAACTCATTTTTTGGCTCAATGGATTCGCAAATAAGCAGAATTTTTGATTTTGAAATGAAGATCAGACCGAAACACTACAAAAGCTACCAATGCATCTGGTGCAGTTTATGGACGGTGGCATCAATGCACCATGCCTTATCAAAGATGCTGCGAATTGTGAGCAATACGGTGAGATGATAACGGTAAAAGAAAGAGTGTGGCTAAGCAGGACTAAGGCATATCCAATCTGAGAATGTGGATTATTCTTTCAAAATATTTGAAATCCTGCAGCACCACTACAAATGTGAACCCAACCAGAAAGCTAGATTGGTAGATTACCAAAAAAAGTTAAATTCAACGGCAATGTGGCAAGAAAAAAACTAAAATTGCATAAAATCTGAGTCAAACCGCACTCAGATTTTATGTAAAACTAGAAAATTTTGGCGTGGCTGTATAAAATACATGTGTCCATAACAACTCACTCAGTCAATATAGAAATTTGTTTAAATTTGGTTTACAATATCATATTAACCATTTTTATACGCATATTCCATAATGTAGGCCGCAATTTCGACCGAACAGCCTGTAATACGATTTAAAGGCGGGTACAAAGATCCTTTGGCTAAATCTTCAGGTTTACATAGATTGGCTAGACATTCAGCTGACATCAGGAACACCTCTTCAGGTATGGTCAACATACCGGTACAGAGAACACCTAACGCTACTCCTGGGAAAATATACGAATTGTTTCCTTGTCCAGGATAATATGTTTTACTATCGTATAGCACCGGCTTAAAGGGAGAACCTGCAGCAAAAATACATTTTCCTTTTGTATACTGATACGCCTGCTCTGCAGTGCATTCGGCTTTACTAGTGGGGTTAGAAAGGGCAAATATTATGGGGTTTTCGTTGTAGTCTGCCATCATTTCGAGAATAGATTTAGTAAAGGCTCCACCAATTGCAGCTGCTCCTATTAATACTGTAGGCTTAATTCTTTTAACAGCCTCTTCCAACGAATCAATGGATGCATGAGCTTGGGCAAAATTTTGTTTGTGTTCCGTTATACCTCCGGCCGGACGGTTTTGTACAATTAAACCCTTGCTATCCACCATCCAGATAAGTTTCTTTGCTTCAGCTTCGGTCAGGCCTTCCTTGATCAAAGCCATAAGGCATAGACTAGCAATGCCTAGGGCAGCTTCACCAGCACCTAGGAATAAAATCTTGTTCTCTTTTAGTTTTGTGTTCTTGATTTTCAGCGAAGCCAACAGACCAGCCACGGCCACCGAAGCAGTGCCCTGGATATCATCATTGAATGTGCAAAAGTCGTTGCGATATTTAGCCAAAAACCGGAATGCATTAGCATTGGCAAAATCCTCGAATTGTATGAGGCAATTTTGTCCAAATCGTCGTACGGCAGCATGCATGAATTCGTCGATGAACTCATCATATTGTTTGCCTACTATTCTCTTGTGTCGTAATCCAATGTAAAGGGGGTCGTTGATAAGACTTTCAGTATTGGTACCAACATCCAAGGTAATGGGCAAGCATTGGCTTGGTTTAATACCGGCCAGAGCTGTGTACAGGGATAGTTTACCAACTGGTATGCCCATTCCGTTGGCACCCAAATCGCCCAAACCCAAAATACGCTCCCCATCAGTGACAACAATAGCTCGAACATCAAATTCTGGCCAATTCTGCAGAAAAATACAATAAACATGTAGACATGTAATGTAAATCTACGTATATATTACCTTTAGTACTTCATAAACATGACCCCTGTCCTTGATTGTGATATATAGACCTTTGGGGTATTGGAATATCAAACTAAACTTCTGACAAGCCAAACCGACGGTTGGCGTGTAAACTAGTGGCATCATTTTAGATATATCTGTTGCCAAAATTTTATAAAATAGTCGTTCATTACGTTCGGCAAGACTATTCAAGTATATATATTTGTCCAAATCAGACTCCAGACGATCCAACAACAACAAACAATGTTGAATTTGTTGTTCCTCTGATTTCACCACGGCAGGTAATAGGCCATGGATGCCTAAAAGTTGGCGTTCTTCCAATGTAAATGCAAGACCCTGAAAATGGAATGAAAACAAAAATTAATAAATCAACTCAATTTACAAATGTTTGATATACAGGGTGGGATGATAAAACTGCAGACTGCTGTCATTTCTAAGCCACTCGCCCGACAGCTGCTAAAATTATTCCAGTGACAGCTCTTTATATTGTATACAAGCGTAAAAAAGCCTTTTGGTGAGAATTTTCCAGAAAAAAAGTTATTCGTGATAGAATTCAAGCGTGATAGTGTCATTTCTTTATATTTGGCTGAAAACCACAAGTGCCTATCGTTAGAGCACTCCAGCATTTAAATGTGAATAAATCTTTTGTGTCTCTTACCATCGCTCGTTACCGTGATACTGGAAGCGTAGCCCGACGTCAAGGAAGTGAACGGAAGAAAACAGCAACATTAGCATAAATGGTTCGAAAAGTAAAGAAGGGACTTGATCGAACCCCGCGTCGCAGTGGGCGAAAAATGGCTATGAGCTTAAAATATCGGAATATTCCATTCGGCAAATATTGAAAAACGAGCTCGGGGTAAAGCCATTGAAATTCCAAAAAGTTCAAGAACTTACACCGCAACAGAAAGAAACTAGGTTCAAAAGAGCTAAAGAGTTGCTTCGCTTGGCCGAAAATGGTGACTGCTGAATTTGGTTTTCTCCGATAAGAAAACAGTTTGTAAATAAACAAAATGATCGTGTTTACTTGCCAAAGAGGTCAGCTGAAAATGTGCACTTTCGATTGGCAACCAGAACTCAAGTGCCAGCCATGGTGATGGTGTGGGTCGCCATAACAGCCGATGGTCGCTCTCCGCCCGTATTAATCGACCGTGGCATCAGAATAAATGTCGAATATTATCGCGAAAATAATTTGGAGGGGGCCATGGCCACGAAAACATTTTGGCCGCAGACCTAGGACACTCCAACAAGACTCAGCATCATCGCACTTAGCACGCGCCACCCAAGAATAGTTACAAAATGAGGTTCCTCGCTTCATTACCAGCTCACATTGGCCACCAAAATCTCCGGATACCAATACGTTGGACTATTGTGTTTGGAGTATTTTGGAAAGCGAGGTTGGCACTAAAAAATATCAAAGTGTCGATCATCTTAAGCAAGCGCTTCGCCGGGAACGGATCAAAATACCGCAGAACAACATTCGGGCAGCGTGTGACAGTTTCATTGGCCCTTTTAAGGCCAATATTCGTGCCAAAGGTGACCAATTCGAACAAATCTGAACTTAATCTAAAATTTGAAGCTATTGCCGACCTTTTTTGCCTTCATTCAATAAAAATTTAAAAATATGTATATAAAAAATATGACGTTTGACTTTGTTGCAGGTTTTTTATCTCACCCCGTAGGTTTCATATATAATCTCGTATACGAGAGGCACCATGTCGATGGCTATTACATGATCGAAAATAATGGCGGAAATACACGGAAAAAAAATATCAGGTATGATTGACATGCTCTCAAAAATCTATTCCAGAGCATTTCCTATATATCTCTATATATATCTTTATACGATATCAGGTTTATTGTGCATCAAAGGGCTTATATCAGCCCAAATGGACTGAATTTTGGCAATGTAACAAGTATTTCAAATTTGGCGAAAGCGTTTCAGATATAGCTGTAACTCCCATAGATATGTTTCATCCGATTTGGTGTTAAATTTCCTCATATGAGTAATATACACTCCACAACAATGATATTGGATACAGGGCATCAGATACTGCTCGAAAAAACCTCTGCCAAATTTTATCGAGATCGGTTCAGATTTTTATGTAGCTTCGATATACATCTTCATCCGATTTTAGGTTTTCGCTCAGCATACAGGGTGAGATAAAACAACTGCAACAAAGTCAAACGCCATAAAAATAATATAAAAAAAAATAATTTTTTCAATAAAAAAATTTTACATTTTTTTTTAAATTTTATTGAATGAATGCAAAACATGTCGGAAATATCATCAAATTTTAGAAAGAGTTAAGATTTGTTGGCCTTCAAACGGCCAATGAAACCGTCACACGCTGCACGAATGTTGCTCTGTTATATTTTGGCCCATTCCCGACGAAGCGCTTTTTTAGTGCCAACTTTGCTTTCCAAAAATACATTTGTTCTGGTGCAACATTGATTAATACGGGCGGAGAGCGACCATCGGTTGTTATGGCGGCCCACGTCACCATTATTGCCGGTGCTTGAGTTCTGGTGGCCAACCGAAAGTGCACATTTTCAGCTGACCTCTTTGGCAAGTAAACACGATAATTTTGTTTGTTAACAAACTAGAGAACGAATGTTTTCTCTCTACCAGTATCACGGTAGGGAGCAATGGTATGAGACACAAAAGATTTATTCACATTTAAATGCTGGAGAGCTCTAACGATAGCCATTTGTGGTTTTCCAGCCAAATGTAAAGAAATCACACTATCACGCTTGAATTCCATCACGAATAACTTTTTTTCTGGAAAATTCTCACCAAAATGCTTTTGTACTCTTGTAAACAATATAATGAGCTGTCACTAGAGCGGCATAGAAATGCCAGCAGTCTGAACTTGGTTGCAGTTTTTTCATTTTACCCTGTATATGTAACATCAGTCCAAATTGAATATATTTTTTTTATATTCAACCGAATTTTACAATATGGTGAAACTTGGTCCGGTATGACTATCCCTTCAATAAATACATTTTAATCGAAGTCATGCCATGCACTTAAAGCAATGTTATTTGGATCATAGTTGGTAAGCTCTACTTCTCATTAATTCGCAATATAAACTTTTTTATAGCGTGAGCTCTACTAAGTAAGCATAGTGGTGTAGGCTATCATATAGTCGGCCACGTCCGACTTTTGACCTTTTCTACTGGTTTAAAATATTTCTGACATATCAATGTTTGGGAAATTGAAACGTCAACATTTCTAAAACGTTTTGTCAAAAATAAATAGATTTTTTTATGTTTTCTCATACAACGTAAATCGGAGGTTGTTATGATTTGCATTTTTTAATAATTTCAATAATTTTTCATTCAACGCTTTCAATTCCAAAATTGGTTTGACAGTTGACATTGTTCCAGCAGCTTTGTCGATGCGACTACCTTATTTATCTACCATGCTAGCGACCAAATGAAAATAGTTGCTATGTTCTAGCAATAGAAAAAGTTCCCAATTTTTACTTATCTGCTTCATGCAACTTTCGCTCTTTATTTTTAACGACATTTATCCATAACTGCATAACCTACACCCACTTAAAATATTTCCTTATGCATTTCATTTAACGCTTTAATTAATAACATCCATTGAGTGATTATCATATTAGAACCATATCCGCAAAGCTTAGAAGCAGAAAAAATAATATATATTTTTTGTTTATTCGACAAGATAAAAAAAATGGGAACATTAATTTATGACAAATTGCTATGGAAAAAATGTAGTGGAAATTGTTATTAAGTATATGATTAATGTTAGTGTGAAGATAACAGTTGTTTCCTATTTGGAAATTCGGAATTAATTGTAGCAGTTTTGAATTCTGACAGGTTTTAGCTAATCAAAAATATGCAATATTTCACACACAGGCTAGGATAAGAATTTATATACAATTAATTTTTTCATATATTTTTACAAGAGCTAGGTGATAAGTTACTGAGTGATCAAACCGTGAAGGCCACCACTGACGTTATAGAGTGAGTTACAGCTATGTTTACTGAAATAGAAACAATTCCGAAAATAAATTTTCCAAAAAAAAGCTTTCATCAACTAATTCTAATCTTATTAGGGGACAGAAAAAATTTTCGACATCAAATATATACTTTTATTAGTATCACAATTTTTTAAAGCTTTAGCGCATTGAAGTCTGAAACGTGTCGCCTGTTTTCTCAATATCATTAACAATTTTAAATATATAGTGAAGATCGGGTAGGCCTTACCCACAAGCAGCAGAAATATTGAAGAATCTGAAATGTGCGCATAAAGCAAAATATATATATACATAAATAATCTCCACTATTTGGAATGAATTTGAAAATTTTCAAAAAAATAAAATCCGTTAAAATTCTGTTAAAATCTTATAAATACCGAATATCACCGTTATATTGGGGTCTATACGAAGACGTGGGCCTGCATAGGCAACTTTTTTCATAAGCTATTAAAATATTTAAAAAACGAAACTTAAAAAATTCCGGTGTTTAATGTGGTTAAAATCATCAAAATACGGAATATAGGAAGGTACCGTTATATCGGGACTATACGAAGACCTGGACCTGCATAGATAATTTTCTGCCACAGACTGTAGTTCCCATTACGAACTCTAAATACGAAATTTGAAACAACTCTGCTGAATAATGTCGCCAAAATCATCAAAATGCCGAATATTGGGAGGTACCAATTTTTTGTCATAGACTGTAGTACCCATTACAAATTCTTAATACGGAATTTGAAACAACTCCGGTGAATAATGTCCCTAAAATCATCAAAATATCAAATATCGTAGATCGATATAGCCCAACTTTGAACTTGACCTGCCTGCAGACAAAAGACTGATCTGTGAAAAGTTTTAGCTTCCTATATTTTTTCGTTTTGACTCTAACATGATTACAACAGACGGACAGGGCTAAATCGTCATACCCTATGTATGATGGAGGGTATAGAAAATTAAATATTGTTTATGGTTTAAAATTAGCGGGCATATATGTACTATAAAAAGAAAATTGAAACATTAAGTGATAAATCGCGAAAACAATATATAAAGCAAAATTTTACTTTTATTTTTAAATTATAAAAGAAAAATTATGATACTTGTTTGCGTAAATATTTATGGGAAAAAATTGAAATTATTTAAAAATGATAGATTAAAAAAATTACCGTTTTGGCAAACTCGATTACTTTGTAAATAATTCAAAACAATACATACACATACAAAAACTGTGTATATACAGGGTAAGATAAAAAACAGCAACAAAATCAACGCCATAATTTTGACATTTTTTTTTTAAATTTTATTGAATGAAAGCAAAAAATGTCGGAAATAGCATCAAATTTTAGAATAAGTTTAGATTTGTTCGAATTGGTCATCTTTAGGACGAATTATGGCATTCAAACGGCCAATGAAACCGTCGCACGCTGCCCGAATGTTGCTTTGCGGTATTTTGACCCATTTCCGGCGAAGCGCTTGTTTGCTTACCCAAGGCTTTAATACACTTCCAGAATATTTTCGCGATAGTATTCGCCATTTATTCTGATGCCACGGTCAATTAATACGAGCGGAAAGCGACCATCGGTTGTTATGGCGGCACACACCATCACCATTGCCGGTGCTTGAGTTCTGGTGACCAACCGAAAGTGCACATTTTCAGCTGACCTCTTTGGCAAGTAAACACGATCATTTTGATTGTTTACAAACTGCTGTACAACGAATGTTTTCTCATCGGAGAAAACCAATTTCGGCAGTTCACCACTTTCGGCCAAGCGGAACAACTCTTTAGCTCTTTTGAGTCTATTTTCTTTCTGTTGCGGTGTAAGCTCTTTCACTTTTTGGAATATCAATGGCTTTGTCGAATGGAATATTGCAATGTGTTCAGCTCACGAGCAATTTTTCGGCCGCTACGACGCGGGTTTTGATCAAGTCGTTCCTGTTTTCTTCCGTCCACTTCCTTGACGTCGGGCTACGCTACCAGTATCACGGTAACGAGCGATGGTACGAGACACAAAAGATTTCTTGACATTTAAATGCTGGAGTGCTCTAACGATAGCCAATTGTGGTTTTCCAGCCAAATATAAGGAAATCATACTATCATGCTTGAATTCCGTCACGAAGTTATTCTTGGTGGAATTTTCTGAAAAATTCTCACTGGAATAATTTTAACAGCTGTCGGACAAGTGGCTTAGAAATGACATCAGTCTGAAGTTGGTTGCAGTTTTTCATCTCACCCTGTATTTTGTTATTAAACCACCATAAGAAAAGATTTTATGCATGTACTCAGCTCCTAAATTGAATATGGCGACCCGTTTCTAACGAACTCCAACTTGTAATTTTTATTTTAAGGATCAAAACTCCATAATAACCGGCTGAAATATATGTCGAATCTTCCCACAATACAGTTACAGCATTCTTTGCATATTTTCAAATAAAAAGCTGGGCTTTGATAGCAAAAGAAGTGACCGCATTAGAATTGTGTCAATCTAGTTCGATCGAACGAACTGTTTCCGTATCTAGTTCCGTGGACTCCGTCCGACTCGACGTATGAGTGTTATGAACTATGAGTTTAGGAACTAGATTGACACAACTCTAGACCAGATGGGCTAACTTTGTCACCTTGTACATACACCTTCTTTCCGACCAAAATAAGTCTATTGACGTGCGATCACAATAACAAACGACCCACATTAATACACAATTAATGCTCAATTGCTAAAATGCAAACAATTGCATTTTCCACTTGCCTACTCACCTTGTTAAACTTTTTTTGTTGCAAACGCTGGAGGCCCGACACACTGCCAGGAACTTCATTGTCACCATTTGCGCTCCATAGTCCTTGGCGATCACGAGGGGCAAAATCTAATGATTTAGTGTTTCCATTACAATGATCCATTGGGAATGTTTTGGCACAAACTTTTTTTTGCTAATATAATCTTTATAGATATTTCGAAATTTTTTAAACAACGGATTTATATTAGAAATATTTGCGATTTCAAATTTTCAAATTTAATAATATTTTACGACTGTTTTTTATTTTGAAAATTACGACAAATGTAAAACTGATTTTCATATTTTAATAATTATTTTACCCGACTACTTAAGTGACTTTCGCCGGCAATGTTACAAATAGAACTGATTTGGATGTTAGTTGAGCGTTCTGTTAAATCATAAACAACAACACTGTCACCCATCGGAAAAAGGTTTCATTCGCATGATTTTTCTCAGCATTGAAAAATATTTCAAATTAAGTTATAGAAAAGTATGCGTACAAATCGTTAACATAGCGTAACGGTAATGGCTGGAACAATTTTATTTTTTTACTACAACTAGCTGAGCCCGGTGAAATTTTAAAATTTTATATACGAAAATTGATAATTTTTTAATAAAACAAATTCAATAATATAACAAGTAAAAAAACATTAAGTTCGGCCAGGCCAAACTTTTAATACCCTCCGCCTTAGAGTAAAAGAAACATTAGAAGAAATGTGGCAAAAACCATTAAATTACCGAATATCGGGAGGTACCGTTATATGGGGGCTATACCAAAACGTGGACCTATAATTACAATGTTTCGCTACACGAACTAGGACCCATTATGACCCACAAATACCAATTTTTAGACAAATCAGTGAAAAAATGTGGCAAAAAACCATAAAAATACCGAATATCGGGATTTACCGTTATATGGGTGCTATATCAGGTGCTATGGACCCATGCATGCAATGTTTCGCCACCGGAGCTGGAACCCATTATGACCAACAAATACCAATTTTCAGACAAATCCGTGAAAAAAGGTTGCAAAAATCATCAAATTACCGAATATCGGGAGGTACCGTTATATGGGGGCTATACCAAATCATGGACCCATACATGCAACGTTTCGCCACCGGAGCTGGAAACCAATATGACCCACAAATACCAATTTTTAGACAAATCCGTAAAAAAATGTGGCAAAAAAACTAAAATACCGAATATCGGGAGGTACCTTTATATGGGGGCTATACCACAACGTGGACCTATACATGCAATGTTTTGTCACACGCTCAGGGACCCGTTACGATCTACAAATACCAATTTCCAGACAAATCCGTGAAAAAATGTGGCATAAATCATCAAAATACTGAATATCGGGAGGTACCGTTATATGGGGACTATACCAGAACGTGGACCGATATATCTCATTTTCAATACCAACCATCCTAGACACAATGCAAATAGCTCTGCTAAATTTGGGTGCTCTACGTCAAATAAGACAGACAGACGGACAGACAGACAGACGGACATCGTAAAATCGACTTAGAATTTTATGCTGATTATGAATATATATACTTTATGGGGTCTAAGACGATTATTTAAGGATGTTACAAACGAAATGACAAAGTTAATATACCCTCCTTTCTAAGGTGGAGGGTATAAAAAAGTATTTATAGTAATACTTGAGGATATACAATGTATTTTTTCCTTACTTCAAGAGTTTTTTATTGCATTATTTTAAAGTTGAACGAAATTTCTGTTGCTATTATCTGTTAAATTCTTGTGTAGATTTGTACCGTTAGCCTAATACCATTGCAAAAGCGTGGTGGGTCTATGTTTCTGAATAAAATTGTGTCCATATCTTAACCGATTTGAATATAATTTGAAAAAAAAAATATTTTTAAACCAAAGTCGGTCACATATTTAAAACGTCAATGAAATTTGACAAACGTAGCAGGTTTTGTGCATTAAATACACGAAATCGGGTGAAAATGTATATCCAAATCTGAACCGATTTCATAATAATTTGACGAATTTGTTTGTGGATCAAATTCAGTCACACATTCTCAATTTCATTGACATTGGAGATACATAGCGTCTTTGGTGCATCAAATATATGAAATCGGCCGAAAATATATATCGGAGCTATATCCAAATTTGAGCTAATTTTAATATCATTTGGCAAATTTTGTTATGTAACAAAATTCCGTTATAAATTTCAAATTTCATGGGAATTGTTTGGTGCATCAAATATGTGAAATCGGCCGAAAACATATATGGAAGCATGGTACAATGAATTCAAGGTAGGGCAGAACTACCATATGATTTAAATTTTTTTATTTTTCTGGCTTAATATGTCAACTTCATTTGCTTATGTGTGTGATTTCTTTTCAATAATAAAAAATTGTTGAGAAAATATTCAAATTCGGGTGTTTTCAAAATGCTTATTGCAACGAATGCATCGACAAAATCTACAGTTTTTGTGGCGAAATAAACCATAAGAGATATATAGAACATGATATTGAAAAGAAATTTTGACCATTCATTCAGTTTTCGCGGTTTTAAATTATTTATTCAAAATCAATGCAACAAGTTGTTTGCTTTTTTATGGTTTTGATAGTAATTCTGACATTACAAGCCAAACAGGTAGACCTCTATACTTGCAATTTTTTCAAAGTTGACCTACCTTCTCTTCATTGTACCATGTATGGAAGGTACATCCGAAGCGATTTCAATATAATGATAATGAATTTATTTTTAGACTAAATTCCATTCCAAATTTCATTGAAATTTGAGATACTTATCGTGCTACAAATAAATGAAATCGGTGGAAAAAATATATATAAATTTATTTTTGTTACACATTCCAAATTTAAAGACTGGCCGATCAATAGATATGTGCATACATGGTACAATGATATCAAGGTAGGGCTATGATACCATATGATTTAATTTTTTTTTATATTCTTGGCTTAATATGTCATCTTTATTTGTTTATGTATTTGTTTTATTTTCAATAACAAAAAATTATTCAGAAAATATTCAAATTCGGGTGTTTTCAAAATTTTTATTTCAACGTATGCATCGACAAAATCTAGAGTTTTTGTAGCGAAATAATCCTTAAGAGATATATAGTACACGATTTTGAAAAGAAATGTTGACCTTTCATTCAGTTATCGCGTTTTTTCAATTATTTATTCAAAATAAATGCAACAAGTTGTTTGATTTTTTATTGTTTTGATACTAATTCTGCCATTACAAACCAAACAGGTAGACCTCTATACTTGCAATTTTTTCAAAGTTGACCTACCTTCTCTTCATTGTACCATGCATGGTACAATGATATCAAGGTAGGGCTATGATACCATATGATTTCAATTTTTTTATTTTCTTGGCTTAATATGTCATCTTTATTTGTTTATGTATGTGTTTTCTTTTCAATAACAAAAAAATTGTTAAGAAAACATTCAAATTCGGATGTTCCCAAAATGTTTATTTCATCGTATGCATCGACAAAATCTAGAGTTTTTGTAGCGAAATAATCCTTTAGAGATATATAGAACCTGGTTTTGAAAAGAAGTGTTGACCTTTCATTCAGTTTTCGCGGTTTTCAATTATTTATTCAAAATAAAAGCAACAAGTTGTTTGCTTTTTTATTGTTTTGATACTAATTCTGACATTACAAGCCAAACAGGTAGACCTCTATACTTGCAATTTTTTCAAAGTTGACCTACCTTCTCTTCATTGTACCATGGTACCATGTGTGCATACATATCAAAAATTTTTGGAAGTACCTCCGATTCTGATGCTATATCTCCAGTTTCAGGTGGAATTTCAAAAATTTATATAGCCTATGTTATTTTCAGACGATGCTGTAGTATATTTGGAATTTTTTCAGGAAAATCTATTCAGCGTCTATTCACACATCAAGATGTGTAACGCGTACATAGCCGTAACGTTTGTTAATTTCGGGTTTATCTTATAATTTGTTTTCGAACGTCAATGCTCATGAATGTCCGTTCTTGTTTTTTGTTGGCTTGCCATAACTATTCGATGACGAAACTTTTAGGGAAACCCCACTATGTGTTTTGTTAATAAAAAAGCTATATGACGTAGTATAACAGTTGTGGTAGCATAGTATGAATCATGGTACAATGAAAAGAAGGTAGGTCAACTTTGAAAAAATTGCAAGTATAGAGGTCTACCTGTTTGGCTTGTAATGTCAGAATTAGTATCAAAACAATAAAAAATCAAACAACTTGTTGCATTTATTTTGAATAAATAATTGAAAAACGCGATAACTGAATGAAAGGTCAACACTTCTTTTCAAAATCATGTACTATATATCTCTGAAGGATTATTTCGCTACAAAAACTCTAGATTTTGTCGATGCATACTTTGAAATAAACATTTTGAAAACATCCGAATTTGAATATTTTCTGAACAATATTTTTGTTATTGAAAAGAAAACACATACGTAAACAAATAAAGATGACATATTAAACCAAGAAAATAAAAAAATTAAAACCATATGGTATCATAGCCCTACCTTGATATCATTGTACCATGGATCAAACTCTTCAACATTTCGTAACAGATACTTTTTACTTTCTGATTTATAAAGAAAATATCTTGTAATATTTCTTATTCCATGGTCGTCGACACAGCTGCTGGGACAATGAACTGTCAAACCAATTTTGGAATTGAAAATGTTGAATGAAGAATTATTTAAATTTGTTGAAAAACGCGAATTATAGTAGCCTCCGAATGACGTAGTATAAGAAAACATGTAAAAATCTACTTTTATTTAAAAAAAAAAAACATTTAATTTTTTTTGACATATCAATGCTCCCAAGCGTTGATGCATCTAAAATCAGTTAAACAGCGGGACAAATGAATGAAACACCTAGATTTTCTTTCAAAAATATGATCTAAACCATGGTACAATGAAATAAAGGTAACATCATTTCAAATTAGCATTCTCAGCTCTGCATTTTTTTGAAATTTACATTGTCAATTTTCAGTGCAAAAAAAAGGTCCCATCTCGGATGTTGTGTGTATACAATGGAATATAGATTTTGATAATGGGATGTTGTCAAATGTATAAATTTGAAAAAATTGTAAACATATGATTACATGACTTTACCTTCTTAGTTCTACCATGATCTAAACAGTTCTATCTTTAAATTCCATGGCAAACTGGTGAATAACTTTAATGCGCGTCTCGCAATTTACGCGTCTTTCAATCATTGATTTGGAAAATATTCTGTTTTTATTTTTCAAAACAAAAAACAAAAAACACACTTAGAAAAAAGTTTAATCAGCTGGTAGCTCTACCTTACCTTTTATTGTACCAGGATAGTACTCATACAAACCAAACCAATTTTATACATAAAGAACCAGTGAAATATTCGGCGTGGACTTTTATTTAAGAGCTATTTGTTGAAGTTTTCGAGATAAACAATGGGTACCATTTAAACTCACAAAACCACAAATTGTTTTTGTAAACATTAAATTTTTGAAGTTTCAATAAACCAAAACAAACTTATTCAACATTTCAAAATGAAACGTTGTGATTGGTGCAAAACAATTTAACTCATATTTTATATGGCAATTAAATTCGCCATGCTTGCAATTTTGACACATCAAGTTCCGATAAAAGTAGCTTTGTTGTATGATACAACGAAGACTTTGCAAGTATAGAGGTCTACCTGTTTGGCTTGTAATGTCGGAAATACTTATCGCTAGAATAGGAATATAATTTTGAAAGTAAAAAGGCTTGCTGATATAGATTGGGCATCTAACACTGATTCAGTATTAGAAGAATACGACTACTTCTTTAGAAGAAGTCATCAATAACCAGCAGTCGTATATGGGAAATCTGGGTTCAAACTTCTAATTTGTATATTCCGTTTTTTTTTTTTGGTGCTTCACAGATGGACATACGTACGAACAAACACTCGTGAATTTTTCCAGGAATGCATTTTAAAAACTATCCTTAAAACTCCACAAACGTTATATAGCCGAAAAATATTTGGAAATATAAAAAATGCAGGATCTGGAACCTTCACAACTTCCATGGTAGAATAAGGAAAGTAAAGCCATCATATGTTTACAATTTTTTCAAAATCATTCATTGGAAAACATCTCATTATTAAATTATGTATTTATAAATCCCATGGTGCAATGAACTAAAGGTAACCTCATTTCAAATTAGTATTCCCATCTCTGCATTTTCTGTAATTTACCTTATCTAATTTCAATGCGTAGAAAACAGGTTCCCATCTCTGAATTGTGTATGCACAATGAAATGTTGTCAAATGCATCAGTTTGAAAAAAAAATTGTGAACATATGATTGCGTGACTTTACCTTAATTTTACCATGAATTTTTCATTCAAAAATTTAAATTACAAAATTTGTTTGACGGTTCATTGTCCCTGCATCTGTGTCGATGCGACTACCTGAATTCTTCTACCATAGTACATCCATTTCGACCGATAATATCGATAGAAAAACTATCAATCGATATCCTGTTTTAAAAAGTATCGATACTATCGTTATTGATATCAATTGTCTATCACCTCTATCCATAACAATCGTTTAATCGCTTTGTAAAAGTGCGACAATTACCTTTTTTCTTGTAACTTTCCATATAAATAAACAAGGCATACTCTGCAGCATTGTACAACCGGTAGTAAATTGTGCAACCTGGTGACATAAAATCCCGCCACCATGGCAGACGAGGAGAATGCAGCTGATGTGACACTAACATCTGTTGTCAATCAAACCACACCGCCCAATGAAATTGAGGCCTCATTTCTCCAATACATCGAAATGGAAAATTTCAAGTCCTACCGTGGTCACGTTCTAGTGGGTCCACTAAAGCAATTTACGGCAGTAATAGGTCCGAATGGTTCTGGTAAGTCGAAATGTAAATTTTGAGAATTTCGGCGGGTTATTGTTTTACTCTCTTGCATTGCAGGCAAGTCTAACTTTATGGATGCCATCAGTTTTGTTATGGGTGAAAAAACGACCAGTTTGCGTGTAAAACGTCTAAACGATCTAATACATGGATCTTCGATTGGTCGACCTGTGGCGCGTAGTTGTTATGTTACGGCCAAATTTATTGTTAATGGTGACTACCAGTTGGATTTTCAACGCGCAGTTATTGGCGGTTCTTCTGAGTATAGGATTAATGGTAATAGCGTTTCCAGTGCATCCTATTTGGCCAGGTTAGAGAAGATGGGCATAAATGTCAAAGCCAAAAATTTCTTAGTTTTTCAAGGTGCTGTCGAAAATATAGCCATGAAAACTCCAAAAGAAAGAACCGCCTTATTCGAAGAAATAAGTGGGTATGTAACTATGTGTTGAATAAAATACATAAGAATACTTACGGTAGCCTCCAGTGCCTTTTATTTATAGAATCTATTATAAATGTTTACTGTTCAATTTTATTACAGTTCTGGTTTATTAAAGGAAGACTATAATCGTCTTAAACAAGAAATGATACTGGCAGAAGAGGAGACACAATTCACATATCAAAAGAAAAAGGGTATTGCGGCTGAAAGAAAAGAAGCTAAACATGAGAAAATGGAGGCTGACCGCTATGCTCGTTTAAAAAATGAATATGTAAGATATTACACCTACTAAGAGTTTTTTCGAAATCAATGATTAACATTTACGCTTATCATTGATTAACATTATCTGCTTAAAATTTCAGAATGAGAAGAAAGTCGAATATCAGCTGTTCCGACTTTATCATGTCGAGAAAGATATACAAAAACTTAATGACGAGTTGGAAATAAAACAAAAGGATGTCAAAGAAGTTGAAAGTCGTAAAGCTGCTGTAGACGAGGTGCTGAAGGAAAAGAAGAAAGAATCCGGCAAATTCAATCGTGATTTGGCAAAAGTTGATCAGGAAATACGTGAATTTGAAACGCAGATGAATAAAAAGCATCCGCTATACATCAAAGCCAAAGAAAAGGTTGCACATTGTCAGAAAAAGTTAAAATCATTGGCAAAAACACTTGAAACGGCAAGAGAAGCTGACAATGCACATCAACAAGACATACGGAAGCTTGAGAAACAACTAAACGAAGTTGAACAGCTGAAAAAAAGATTCGAGGACGAAATAGCAAATGAATCAACGCGACGTGGCAAAAGTGTACACATGGAAGAAGGTCTGGTACAGGAATATGATAGTCTCAAACAAGAAGCAGAAGCAACCGCTACTAAATACCGTTCGCAGCTGGATTCTGTTAATCGAGAACAGAAATCTGATCAGGATTTACTCGATGGAGAAACAAATCGCCGAGCATCGGTGGAAGAAGCCCTAAAGAAGTTAACATTGCAACGTGAGGAGGCCATAAAGAGACGAGATAAATTAATGGATCATATCAAATCGTCAGAAGCAGCCTTGGAGGAACAGAATCGCATCAAAGATGAGCTGAAACGTGATGTGGGTAGTTCTAAGGAAAAAATTGCTGAAATACAAAGTATATTGGAAGATGTTCGAGATCAATTAGGTGATGCAAGGAGCGACAAACACGAAGATGCCCGTCGAAAAAAGAAGCAAGAAGTTGTCGAGCTGTTTAAAAAACAAGTACCGGGCGTGGTATGTTTTTCATGTTTTTTATGATGAATATGTTAATAGTTTATCTCCTTTCAGTATGATCGAATGATAAATATGTGTCAACCTACACATAAACGTTACAATGTGGCCGTTACCAAAGTTTTGGGCAAATTTATGGAAGCAATAATAGTCGATACCGAAAAAACTGCCCGCCAATGTATTCAGGTAATTGACATCTATATTATAATGCATTCATAAATTATCCTTCTTTTCAATAATCAGATACTTAAAGAACAAATGTTGGAAGTGGAAACATTCTTGCCGCTGGATTATTTGCAAGTTAAGCCCCTTAAAGAACGCCTAAGGTAAGTAGTTTTTCTATTCTATGTGTATGTATATGTGTTTTCCAATAACATATTTAATAATTACATTATTATTCAGAAACATAAGTGAACCACGCAACGTTAAACTTGTATTTGACGTTTTAAAATTCGAGCCCAAAGAAATTGAACGAGCAGTACTTTTTGCCACTGGCAATGCTTTAGTCTGCGAAACACCTGAAGATGCCATGAAAGTGGCATATGAGTTGGATCGTTCACGTTATGATGCTTTAGCATTGGATGGTACATTTTACCAAAAATCTGGACTCATATCCGGCGGTAGTCATGATTTGGCACGCAAAGCTAAGAGATGGGACGAGAAGCACATGGCCCAACTTAAAATGCAAAAGGAAAAATTGAGTGAAGAGCTTAAGGAATTGGTTAAGAAATCCCGCAAGCAAAGTGAATTGGCCACTGTGGAATCTCAAATAAAGGTAAAAAGTTAATTTACCATTAATTTCAAGAGGGCGATACCAGTTTGCTTGCAACGCGCACATATTAAAACCAATTCTTTTCTAGGGTCTGGAAAATCGATTGAAATATAGTATGGTAGATTTGGAGTCATCGAAGAAATCTATACAACAATTCGACAAACAGCTGCAACAAGTTCAAAGTCAATTAGATGCGTTTGGGGTAAGTTATTAGAAATATGTATTGAAAGATAACAACATTTAATTTATTTTATTCTTTTCGCAGCCAAAAATAACCGAGATCGAGAGACGCATGGAAAAGAGAGAAGAACATATCCAGGAAATCAAAGAGAATATGAATAATGTAGAAGATAAAGTATTTGCTGCATTTTGTCGCCGTTTGGGCGTCAAAAATATACGACAATACGAAGAACGTGAATTAGTAATGCAACAGGAAAGGGCTCGCAAACGTGCCGAATTTGAACAACAGATTGACGCTATTAACACTCAGCTGGACTTTGAGAAGCAGAAAGACACAAGAAGTATACTCTTATTTGTGTATTGTGTATAAATATTATCGATGTATTGAACTTTTGCAGAAAATGTTGATCGCTGGGAGCGTAGTGTACAGGATGAGGAAGATGCATTGGAAAAGTTGAGAGCCGCCGAGAAACGATATTTAAGTGAAATTGATGAGGACAAAGAGAAAATGGAGAAACTAAAACAACTTAAAGCTGAAAAGAAGCAGGCTGTCGATGATATGGAAGAAGAAATTTCCAAAGCAAGGAAAGATGTCGCCAATTTGGCTAAGGAAATTCACAATGTGGGCTCAATGGTGTCATCGATTGAATCGAAAATTGAAACAAAGAAAAATGAACGTCACAATTTGCTGATGCAGGCAAAGGTGGGTTGAAAAGAATACATAGAATAGGAATTTCTAAGTTAAACTTAGTTACGTTTTGAGTAGTCAACCTTTGTCAGTGTACCCATATATCCATAGCGACTGACTTAAGGTATTTTTAAGGTTTCAATCACTTTATAGATTATATTAGAATTGATTATCCTTAGCCATTCTTTAAGCATGAATTGATTTAATGCTCATCGTAAGCCCTGATTTGATGAAAGAATCGAAAGATGATTAATAATATTTTTTATTATTTACAGATGGATTGTATTGCTATTCCACTATTGAGAGGATCGCTGGACGATTGTGTCGGTCAAGGTGGTGAAATTGACAGTAATACCCCCTCAACTTCTGCAAATGCCGTTGTAGATAAGGAAACCAAGTAAAACACAACATTTGAATATCAATATTACATCATTCTTATAACAACTTGCTATTTTTTACAGCATTGAAGTCGATTACTCAAGTCTACCACGCGATATTTGCAAACTCAAAGACGATTCGAGTTTCAAGAAAATGAACGAAACATTACAAAAAGACCTGCAGGCGAAATTGGATGTTTTGGAGCGTATACAAACTCCCAATTTGAAGGCAGTACAGAAACTTGATGCTGTTACAGAGAAGGTGCAGCTGACAAATGAAGAATTTGAAACCGCACGCCGTAAAGCGAAAAAGGCTAAAGCTGCATTTGAACGTGTGAAAAATGAACGCTCCGAGCGCTTTATTCAGTGTTGTAACCATATATCAGATGCCATTGATGGGATTTATAAGAAACTTGCACGCAATGAAGCAGCCCAGGCATATTTGGGTCCCGATAATCCAGAAGAGCCTTATTTAGATGGTATAAATTATAATTGTGTAGCACCGGGCAAACGTTTCCAGCCCATGAGTAATTTGAGTGGTGGCGAAAAGACAATAGCAGCTTTAGCATTACTATTTTCCATTCATAAGTATGACAGAGAAAAGTTCTTATATCATATTAAAGTTCTTATATCATTATAATTCTGATTTTCTTCATTTTAGTTATCAACCTGCTCCATTCTTTGTACTTGACGAAATCGATGCCGCGTTGGATAATACAAATATTGGCAAGGTGGCCTCATACATTCGAGACCATACCACAAACTTGCAAACCATCGTTATTTCATTGAAAGAGGAATTTTATGGGCATGCCGATGCTTTAGTCGGCATCACGCCGGGTGTAAGTTGATTATATGTTGTTTATTAACCGATAAATAATATTTTTCTGTTTATTTTAGGATGGCGATTGTTTGGTTTCCAACGTTTATATGTTTGATTTGACTCGTTTTGTGGATAAGTAATCATTGCAACCCTTAATATTAGATTCGAGTTTCACAATTACATTTTATATATTATTTCATAATTATGATTTTGTAGACTTTCAGATATAAATTTTTCCTTTCCAGTGTGACGTATTTTTAATATTTAGAAGCAACATAGATTAATGCACAAAACTACCATTTAAGTAATAAAGAAATCAAAAGTTTTTTACTACAATATATTATGTAAAAATGTATAATACAAATTTAAGATTCCAAACAAACTTCAAAATGGTCTGCACTGTTTTCTTTTTATTAAGACTGTGCGGTTAACATTAAATGGATATTGCAGGTATATTTAATGTTATATTAGTTTTTATGTTGAAATTGATGAGGGTCTTAAAAACAGCTGTAGGGCGATTGAAAACCAAATACCAAGCAATTAAATTAAGATAGTACGTCATCCTTGGAGGTGGGCCGGCTACGTTTAACCAATCGACAAAGAGCTACCAGACAAAAACCGAATCTGTATAATTTTGAATCCTGTGCCGGAAATCTGATGTGACATTGCAATTTGAATTTTGGAGATTAGATTGAAGCTAATGTATGGGGGGAAACAAAAAATAGATACCCTCATCTGTCAAAGATTCGCCTAGTCGTGTTGGCGAACACCCTGTTTCGATTTACTACTAACGTCCCGTTATCTTGTGTGATGGTAAAGTTAGATCGAAACTGTCCTCTATTTTGAATAATGCGATTTTTTCGCCCAGTTTCAAACATGGAGAAGTGATTTAAAAATTAGGAAATATTGTCTTCCAATAGGTGTGTGATAGTGTCCCAGTTAATATTACTCAGCAAATTGTAATAAGAACATTTTCTCAATCATCTACAGAAACGATGCTATATAAATGTTCGTCATAGACCCCATTAAATATGCATATATATTCATAATCAGCATAAAACTCTAAGTCGTTTTGTCCGTCTGTATGTCTGTTTGTTTAAATTACGATACAGCCCACATTATTTGACATATAGCGTCAAAATTTAGGTGAAAATTTTGTATTGTGTATAGGATGGTTGGTATTGAAAATGACCTATCGGTTCACGTTTTGGTATAGTCCCCATATAACGGTATCTCTCATAATTCGGTATTTTGATGATTTTTGCCAAATTTCTCCTCGGATTTGTCTAACACATATAACGATACCTACCTATATTGGGTATTTTGATAATCCACACATTTACGCGTATAATTGTTTCAAATTTGGTATTTTAGAAGGAGACAATCCTTGAAGTATAAAATTGTCCACAGAGGTTCCCGTTTTGGTATGGCCCCATATAACGGCCTCATTCACTTTATGGTTTTTTGATAAGTTAACTGCATTATCCAAACAGTCTTACTGGTAAATGAAGTTTAAAGTGAAACACGCTTGAATTTAGATACTTTTATATAAAAATGTTTACCCTCAGATGGATGATAGTAATAATTCTGCCCCGCCCAAACTTAATTTGTTTACTTGTTTTTAAAGTAATATGAATTATTTGTCATTGAAATTGTGCGTTGGAGACCCAATAATTTCCATATCTTTTATCATAGTATAATTCAAAGACGATTAAATAAATTAAATCCGGTTCCTTAAATCATATGATGGTTATACAAAACGTGATCAGTTTTTGCATAGATGGTTTCTTCCCAAATTACCAACATTTGCCGAAATTAGTATGAAAATATGGTTAAAATGTAAGATAGACTTGAAATCGGGTTGTATCCTTATCCGGGGGTTATGGCCCATATCATGAACTGCAAAAGTGATTTAAGGTATCGTGAAAGTTTAGGAAGAATTTCTGAAAGAATAGAAATCCTTTTCCTTTTATATTCGGTATTTCACTGATTGCAGTCCCAATGAATTTTGCATAATGAGTTCTCTTTGGACAAATTATTGTCATGTGATAGAAGTAGGTAGGTCCACGTGTTGGAATGAGCCCCATAACGTTTTGTCGGTTATTTTTGCTTATTTAAATGTGTTCGCATCTTCCAGCTGAAGCACGATGTAGATCCTGGAGTTGAAAGTTAAATGCCAATTTCTGACATGAAAGATCGCCATTTAACATCTTATTGCGTACTATTTCAAACTTGATATTATTCATTCAGAATTCAAAACAATAAAAAATGTACACTTCTATATAGTTTTTAAATTGAAAAAATTTCACGCCAAAAGGATTTCTTCTTTTATATTTTTATTGGCATATTCTACGCAATTTTTTTGCAGGATTCCATTCCGAAATTGTATGAATTGTGAAAATCCGTCAAAACGTTCTTGAGTTATAAGCATAGTAACTAATAAACAAATTGAAAAAATCTTCAACTTGTTCGCTGGTTTTTTACAGCCAATATTTAAAGGTCCTTACGAAGTTTGGTCCTTAATATTATTTTGAAATTTGATTCCATTGAAAAAATGTTCAGTTTTTCCCTATTTTAGAGTTTTTGCAGTGCAATATGCTCTTTTTTGATTTTTTAGCAATTTTGGTTTGACCACGTTAAATTATTTTGACATTATCTATTCAGTTCCGCCACTCCATAATTTTCGTCGCTTTCTACTACCCAAAAAGACTACACATCATATTAGAATTCAAAAAAAAAAAAAAAAACACTACAAATGTACATTCCGAAATAGTAAGTCTAAATGGAAAAAAATCATGCAAAATAAAACATTACTATTGTACACTTCAAAAGTCAAAATGAAAATTTAAAAATTTCACATTTTTACGCGATTTTTTTGGTTTTTATCCTTTTCTGCCAAGAGACAATTCCGAATTTGTGTAAATCGTTAAAATCAGATTAGCGGTTCTTAAGTTATAAGCGTAGTAACTAACACAACTTTCATTATATATATAGACAGATTAGAAGTATGCGTGGTCAGTTCCCTGGCGCCCAAATAAATTCCTAAGTTTTAAGGGAAAGTCAACAGTATCTCGTGTAATAATTTTCAAGCCGATATCTTCATTATCTGGCAAATGTAAAGATTTTAGATAAATCAAGATAGTGGGTGTAAAAGTAGGCGTGGCCAATATTTTTTTCTTTAAAAACCTAACTCGGGGTATGACGAACGTTTGTACAAAAAATTATGTAAATCGGTCCAGCCGTTTTCAACTGATTCGGTTACCAACAAACAACAATTGATTTATATATATATAGAAGAAGAAGAAGATAAGATATATAATTTTAGCCCAAATGGACTGAATTTTGGCAATTTCGACTCAATTCTTCCTAGAAACAAGATCTTAAAATTTAGTGAAAATCGTTTCAGATATAGCTATAGCTCCCATATATATGTTTTATTCAATTTGTTGTTATAGTCCCTCACATGCGTAGTAAGCACTCCACGACAATGATATTTGACACCGGGCATCAGATACTGCTCGGAAGTACCTCTGCCAAATTATATCGAGATCCGTCCAGATTTTTATACAGATTCGATATACATCTTCATCCGATTTTACGGTTATTTCTCACCATATATGTAATATCAACCCAAATTGAATAGATGTTTTCATATTCAACCGAATTTTTCTATTTGGTGAAAATCAGTCCGATATATATATTTCTCCAATATTTTTTTTAATGAGGATCAAAGTCATATAATGCAGTATACATCAATGTTATTTGGATCATAGTTGGTATGATCTACTTCACAAAAATTCCCAATATATTTTTTTTGTTACGGGAGCTCTACTAAATACACATAGTGGTGTAGGGTATCATATAGTCGGCCCCGCCCGACTTTTGACCTTTCCTTACTGGTTTCAAATAAAAATTATCATCATACCTAAAATATTTACATGTGACGAGTGGCGTATTATCTTACTCGGCACATACAGTTTAATGTTCCGCATCTTAGGAACAATATTTAATCTGTCTTAGGCTTAAACATATATAGAAATGGAGATTTTAACCCTATATCTTAGGAAAACGTTCTGGGTGCTGTTTTGACCTTTTATTTTAAGTCAGTTCTTAAGGATCCAACCCCCAGAATAGCCGACTAAATTTTTTTCCAAAATCTTCACTGCTAGGTATTTTATTGAATTAAATGTATGTATAAAAACGAAAACTTACGCTGACAAATAAATTTAAGGCCAGTTCGGTTGAAAATGCGGCATGTTTTATAGCAAAACAATGCGCGATATTGTCGATCTTCATACTTGTCCTAGCTGCAATATAATTAGACTTTGAAGCAAAATTCAGAAATCTCATAATTAAATATTTTATGACTTATAATACTAATATTTTAGTTATCTCTTTAGATAATATTCTTCCTTGACTTTTATACCCCCTAAAAGGCGTGAAATTTATAAAATATTTGCTCAGAAATCGATGTACATTTATTACAAAGTTGTGCGCCCATATTTAAGAAAGAACTACAACATATAAATTTGACAATGAATTGATATCAAGTAAAACAAGTAAAAAGCAGTAAATTTGACCAACCCGAACTTTGAATACCTTCCACCATTTGGAACAAAGTTAGAAATTTTCAAAAAAAAAAAAAAAAAAAACATAAATAAATAAATAAAAAAAAATCTGTTAAAATATTAAAAATACCGAATATATCCGTTATATTGGGGTCTATACGAAGGCGTGGACCTACATAGGCATTGTTTGTCACAAGTCATTACCATTTTCAAATAAACTTCAAACAAACTTGAAAAAACGGCGAATAATATAGCTAAATTCATCAAAATACCGTATATAGAGAGGTAGCTATATGAAGACCTGGACCTTCATAAACAATGTTCTGTCACAGGCTGCATTTTCCATTAGGAACATCGAATACGACATCTTAAATAGTTAAAATACCGAATATATTGAGCTACTGATATATGGGACCTATAAGAAGACCTGGAACAGCATAGACAATTTTACGAACTCTAAATACGTAATTAGAAACAACTCCGTTTAATAAAGACGCTAAAATTATTAAAATACCGAATATTGGGAGGTACCGTTATATGGACGCTATACGAAGGCGTGGGCCTGCATTTACAATACTTTGTCATAGGCTGTAGTACCCATTACGAATTCTAAATTTGAAACAACTCCGGTGAATATTGTCCCTAAAATCGTCAAAATACCGAATATTGAGAGGTGCCGTTATATGGGGGATATACGATCTCGTGGACCTATAAAGAAAATACTCTTCTAGGGGGTAAAGTATTCAGAGGGAACTTCTAGTATGGATTTTCAGGCAATTTCATTTAAAAATTTGGCTGCAAACATCAAAGTACTGAATATAGGGGGTACCGTTTTATGGGGGCTATACGACATCGTGGACCGATATAGTCCGTCTTCGAACTTGACCTGCCTGCTGACAAAAGACTGATCTGTGTAAAATTGTAGCTTTCTATCTTCATTCGTTTTCACTCTAGCTTAATTAAAGCTGACGGACGAACGAAAGGCGCTAAATTGTCTTATAATTTTCGCTGATCAAGAATATTGGATGTTCGATGAATTAAAAACGGAATGACGAGCCTTGTATACCGTACATACCATGGTACAACAAGGAGGTAGAACAGATTTGTAAAAATACAGAAATACAGCTCCGAGGCTATGCCCGCTTCTTATCAGAATTATTCAAAATTATAGGCAAAAAGTTGTTTTCATTTATTTGGCATTATTTGTTCATTTCAAAAATAAGGTGAATGATGAATGAAATGCTTGAAGGATCTCTCATAAATATGATTCTAAGAGTTCAATCTTTCAATTCCATGGCAAATCTGGTTAATATTATTAATGCGCGCCCCGCAATATAAGTTTCTTCCATTCAATGATTTTGAAAATATTTTGCTTTTATTTTTCAAAACAACAAATACATACACAAAATACTATGTGTGGCGGTGGGTATAAAAATGTAATCTATGTAATAGAAGAATACAGGTAGTCGCATCGAAACAGCTTCTGAGACTGTCAAACTGTCAAAGCTATTTTGGAATCGAAATTTTTTAATGAAATATTATTAAAATTTTTAAAAATTGTAAAAAAATGTCTATCTTAGCAACCTGATAGGCGACGTATAGGAAAACATATATAAATCTTTTTATTTTTGAAAAAAAGAAAAAAAAATTAAAAAATTTTTTATGACATATCAATGTTCCACAGCTGTGATGCATCTATTCTTCTACCATGATGTAATCGTAGGATTGCGTGGGATTACCTTTGTAATTGCTATCTCAACTCAACTTATCAATACCTTGCAAGCAATAAATATCCCACAAATCACTTAGAAGTCACACCAAATCATTGCGTTTGATATCGCTTTCTCACCCTGAAAGGAGCATCCTTCGGGAAGAAATGAACCACGCTCGCGATATTTTTAAGCGTGACTAAATAGCGTATACAGCTTATCTTCTAATAAATGTGGAAGTCACTTCCTCGACAGTTATTGGAAGTGAACAAAAATTATATTTTTTACTCCAGCCTTAACAATTATTTTTATTACCCTACAACATTATGTGTTGGGGGTATTATAAGTTTGATTGGGCCAAAAATTATGTAACACCTCGAAATATTAGTTTCCCACATAGGAAAGTATATATGGATCTTCCTATCTCGCCGAGCCGAGATCTAACTATGTATGTCCGTCCGTCCGTCTGTCCATATTAATTTTTAATCACTCTAAGATCGCAATTATGTCCCAATCTTTACGAAATTTAGAAAGGAAATGGGGCATCGCATAATATTTAGGAGTTGAAATGGAAAATTCCTGATTTTGCAGTTGCTCTACACGATGCAAATATAGACCAATAGAAGTTAGCATGGGACTAGAACTTAGGGCTCGGCAGAAGCATTTCAATTTTGATGGTCATCGGTTAATATTTAGTGAGTGAAATAGACCATAACATTTGTTTTAAATAAAAGTCAATTTTTCATTAAACAGCGAATATTTGTAATCCCGGCGAAATCACAAACAGACGAAAAGGTCCATTGTGACCGTTACGTAGATACCGATAGTAAATATATCGGATATATATAGCGAAATATATACAATGTGTATATATCAGAGGGCTGCAATGAGTATGATTGAGTAGGCTTGATCACACACAGTGGAAATACAATCAAACTCAATCAGTCGGTCAGATGTAACATGTTCATTCGAGTTGCTCAAGTCATACGATAAAGTTGTGATCAAACATGTATTGATCGAAGTTTTGTGTTCACAATCAAACAGCTCACATCAGTTATTTGTTTACGAACTTATGTTGAATTGTTCAAAACGGGTCGATCATGTATGATGAGTCTGATCGGTTTTGTTTATCCTAGTTAAGTGAGTGATTTGATTTGATTAAAACACAAATGTTCGAATCTGAGCGAAATCATGATTGTAATTTTACAAAGGATTTCATAACTAAAAGCTGTTCCCATTAAAGAAATTGGTGCAAATTATATTTAATAAGCATACAATTTTTTCATTTTATTTGGGTTTTTGGTATGTTAGACTTCAGTAACTTATTAAAAAAACAAAATTAATATTTTTAATAAAGAAACACATCATTGGTATTTAGTAAACTAAAAATGTTTAAATATTTTTTTTTTGTTACAATATTGGTCAAGATTTTTCACAAATTTCGACCTTTTCGTGTGTAGTTTCTACTTGCATCAATTTCGGTCACACTACCACAATATTCTTCTATTTCAAATATTAAAAAAGTCAAAATAAACTGCCCCAACTTAATTGAATGGTTGAATAAACAATGACGCTGAGCGAACTCGATTCAAAGAAGACAATCACGGTTGTGATTGCTCATTTACAATCATGTGTTCGATCAACTCATTTCGCTGAACACATCAAACCGTCTCGAACACTCATATTTGATTATGAGTGAAGTGATTCAAACTGAGCGTTCGATTCGATCCGAAGCGAAAACGGTCATTTCATTCAGATCAAACTAAACGACAGCATCAACAAAAATCATGTAAGAAACCGAGTGTGCTTGAATTTTTGCATACTCGTTGCAGCCCTCTGGTATATACAAAGGAAGGGGTTGCTAGCTAGAATGCTAATATCTCTAGAATGGCTGAACCGATTTTGACAAATTTTGTCAATTCAAATGTCTTCCTGGCATAAAAGAATAAAATGTAAAAAAAATCGCATAAAAAGATGCCAATAATGATGTTAATATAGATTTTATAATATTTTGTGATATATTTTTACTTTTTTAAAATTTTTTGTGATTTTTTCAATTTGACTTATAATATTGAAGTGTATATTTTGTAAAATTCTTTCACCTTACAACACAGGTTGGGGTTATAGTTATAGATTGCAATTATCTTCCGATCCTCACGAAAATTTTTACAAGGTGGGGTTAGGCTCAGAAGGGCTAGGCCTATTGTTTTCAAAGATGTTCGCAATATATTTAGGGGTTGAAATGGACCAACAACTAAAAATGTTCCTGATTTTGCAGCCGTTATAAAGGTCACAAATAGAAACCAAAGAACACGACATCTCGCAAGAAGTTAGAGTTTAGGACAGCGGGTAGAATGGACCACTACTTTTGTGTGAAAAAATACCAATATTACTTACGGGCGATATCTGAAATACATAAAAAGCGAACTTCTGGCTTTTTTATGCTGATAGCCAAATATCGTAGACAAGCCAATCATATAAATGAGTCTAAATTTGGAGATACTTGATACTCTTGCTTTTGGAGATAATCGCAAAATATTTAGGGGTTCAAATGAACCAAAAACAGAAAAAATGTCCTGATCACACAATTAAAACCAATCGACACGCCTGAGAAGAGAGTTAAGGACAGGGAAGAATTCTAGCATTTTGAATGACCATTGGCTTATATTTAGCTGTAAAATGGACCACAATAATTAACAGCATGACGGAGTGCGTAAATAATGGGCAAATGACCCTGGTCAAAATGCTAAGGGTAATATCTGGGCAGTACACCGTGACATAATTTCAAAAGCGAAATCTTCCAAAATGGATTTGGACATAAGGAGGCTTCCAACATATTGTAGTGTTGTATGGTATCACATGGTCGGCCTATAGCCTTTGCTTACTTGTTTTGTATTGTTATTTGTACTTTTCCAATGTAGGTTTACAAGTATAAGTTACTAATTATTTGAAATACTCATACGTAATTTTTTTTGGTATTTAAAAAATGTGATGTATGGCTTAGGAATCGAAATCGGTGTTCAGAGAGCACAACTGATATGCTTATCACTGCGCCACAATGTCTTACATTTCTTAGATAGAATAATGTCTTATTTTTGTTCAATTCGTAAGTAATTGTAAACTATCAATGTTTCATCCGATGGAACTCACAAAATAGTGTCTGCACATGCGACACCTTATTTTATCTTCCTACGCAGTAACTCCCTGACGATGCAAAGTAGACAACAGTAATTTTGTTCTTGTAAATGTACCTGCTATCGCATTTATTAGGATTAGAAGCGTCGCAGAAGTGGCATCTTAAAAAGGAAGTGAGTGACTCACTTCCAAATGCTTGCAGGGTAGTGTTTCGTATTTTCGTATTGTAATACTAAGTAGTCATCCAATACCAGGGTACGAAGTACATATAGTAGTCTTTAGTATAATCATTATGTACTCCCATCAGTTACTTTCATACTGAACTTATAGCTCCATATAGAAAATATTTCTAAAAACTATATTACTCTCAAACCAATATTGACTCACATTCGAACATTTTGAATTGAAGCTTTATACTCCGTGGGGAAAATCTGGTACGTTTTAGAACACTCCTTGTTTGAATTCCCAAAATAAATAACCCATACACACCAACTGTTCCACACAGTCCAATTATTAGAATTATTTCTTAAGTGCTGTTAAATAACTTTTTGTTCCAATTTTTAAATACTCAAAGACTCGTATTTCCACAAATTCGAAATTTGTATTTCCAATAGACTTTTCCTCTGTCCATACAGAAGTAGAGAAAATAAAACACTATTTAGCTGTTTACACGTTTTTATTGTTTTTGTAACATTTGAATGTTTTGATTTACAATAATCAATTTGAATTTTTTTGTAACTTTTTTACATAACTTTTATTGGGTAAACATCATGTTGCATGTTTATTTTTGTTGTCTCTTTAGTCCTTACATCTTGATATTTTGTTGTTGGTTTTCTGAAGTTTCGTTTTAAAGTGTTTTCTGTTTTTTTTTTGTTTGTTTCTTTTTTTATTTATTGTTATAACACAAATTCATCAAATTTCAGCTTTTTGCAGTCCCTTTGTTATTTCTGAAATAGAGAAAAAACACATAAATATTATTATTATTATTAAAAAAAACATACAAATTTGATAAAATCATTTAAATCTAAATAGACTAGATTTGAGAATAAATTATTTTGTTTTGCTGTTTTTTTTTTTAATTTAATGTCAATAATGTTTGAAGTATTATTATTTTATTTCGGCAAACTTTTATATTTAATTTTCAAGTTTTTTATTTTATTTCTAAATAAAACGATGAGGCGAAGTATACACAGTTCCTCAATTTCACCTGAAATCGAACCAAGCCCATTTTCATAAAACTCGGTATTTAGATGAGTTATAGCGCAATTTTACTCTTGAAGATTAAACCACTGGATTTACTAAATCCAGTAAATTTCCTGTGTCGAATGCCTACTGATTTAATAATTTTAAAACAAAACAAGTAAAAAAAGCTGTAAGTTCGGCCAGGCCTAACATTAAATACCCTCCACCATTTAGAACGAATTTGGCAATTTTCAAAAAAAAAAAATCCGTTAAAAATTCTGCTAAAATCTAAAAATTACCGAATGTAGCCGTTATATTAGGGTCTATACGACGGCGTGGACCTGCATAAGCAACTTTTGTCATAAGCCATTACAACATTCAAATGCGAAACTTGAATCGTTAAATAATGTGGCTAAAATAATTAAAATACCGAAGACGTGGACCAGCACAGACAATTTTCTGTCATGGGCTGTAGTATCCATTACGAACTTCAAATAGCAAATTTTAAAAATTCCGTTACGAGCTTCATAATTCAGGTGAATAATGTCGCTAAAATCATCAAAATACCGAATATCGGGAGGTGGTGTTATATGGGGGCTATACGAAGGCGTGGACCTGCACGTACAATTTTCGGTCATAGGCTGTAGTATCCATTACGAACTTTAAATACCAAATTTTAAACATTTCCGGTGAATAATGTAGCTTAAATCACCAAAATACCGAAAATATGGATGTACCATTATATGGGGGCTGTACCAAAACGTGGACCTACATGATCCATTTCCAATACCAAAAGTCCTGCAGACATAATGTACATTTGGGTAAAATTTTATCAATCTACTTCATTTCGTTCGGAAGCTAGAGTGATTTCCACAGACCGACGGACATCCCTAAATCGACATAACGTTTTATGCTGATCAAGAATGTATATATTAAATATTTATGTAATATATATATTACGACGGAATGGCAAATTTAATATATCCTTCAAACTATGGTGGCGGTAATAAAAATTCAAAAACTATTTTATGGAACTAATTGTTGAAAATTATTTGAATATATCTGGCTATTTATGTTGCAATCGTGACCCGAACGCTAGCGTGCATACTTGGCCATCGATGGTTTAAATACAGCCTTTCCCTGCAAGCAAAAAATATTCCGGAAGTCACTTAGAAGTCAGACCAAACAATGTAATTCATCGCGGAAGTTGCATCCTTCGGAAAGAAATGAACCACGCCCGCGATAATTTAAAGTGTGACTAAATAAGCGAATACATCGTTACTTCTGTGTATAGAGAAGAGAGCATAGCGAGCATTCTTATCACTGCACCACAGCATCACATAATCCTCAGATAGAATATAGACTTACTTTTGTTAAATTCGTAAATAATTATAAACTATCGATCCGATGGAAGTCAAGAAATAGTGCCTGCACACGTGACATCTTCCTTGGTGCCACAGACGTTTTGTCTATGAAATTATATTATTTTGAAAGAAGAACATTGTCCTCTAACAATAATGAGATATGGATTGGCAATTGCTTATAATTTCGGTAATTAACGAAATTTGTCCGTATGTTAGTGATAAAAATATAGTCTTTATAATTCTATGTCTTTGATATAGTACAGTATAGGCCTAACGAGAGAAACAATGTCGTAAACTTTTAATTTCGTTTTTAAGCGTCCTGTACAAAATGCATGGCAAGCAATTTTGTGGCGTTAGTTAAAATTTGTTTGTATTCGTCACACCTACAAAATTAGAATTTTTTGCTTTTTCTCGTGCATGAAAAATTTGTTTTTTTTTTTGGAAAACGATTTTTGTCGAAAACGATAACAAAAATCAGAGAATCCTACTGCCATTCGTGAATTGGTATATATCGGCGTACATCTTTTGGTACCACAAACCTCTAGGAAAGCTACTAAGACTATAGGCGATGAAATGTATTATCCTAACTTCGAATATCGTAATATTAGTCAGAATTGCACATCGAACCATGAGAAAACCAAGATCAAACCAAATGCTTTGGTTCTTCAAAGATACTCTACGTAACTGTGAGTGATGAGAGCTTCCGAGAACTTGACTTAGTGCTCTTTCTGACTGTTCCCGAACGTGAAACAAAATTTACCGCCCAGATCGTGCGATTTAACGCCTTTAGACTATTCTTTTGTTTGGCTATGGCAAAGCACATGTTTATACAGAAAAAAATTAAAAGGTTTCTAGTAAGAAATTTTGTAAGAATGACAAAAGTAGCAGCTTCTTACTGGAACTGGAACACAGCCATTATAATTCAAGAAAATCTTTAACTTTAGTAAAAACAAAAAAAAAAACAAGTAAATAATCTGTAAGTTCGGCCGGGCCGAACTTTGAATACCCTCCACCATTAAGAACGAATATTGCAATTTTCAAAAAAATAAAATCCGTTAAAAATTTTGTTAAAATATTTAAAATACCGAATGTAGCTATGCACAGATCAAAACGTCGACATACATATCCCATTTTCAATACCAAAAGTCCTGCAGACATTATATAAATTTGAGTAAAATTTTATCAACCTACTTCATTTCGTTCGAAAGCTAGAGTGATTTCCACAGACGGACAGCGGACGGACGTCGCTAAATCGACATAGAATTTTATGCTGATCAAGAATATATATACTTTGTGGGGTCTAAAATCTATATTTCGAAGTGTTACAAATGGAATGACAAACTTAATATACCCTCCATACTATGGTGGAGGGTATAAAAAGAATAAATAATGCACCTGTAGCATAAACCCTCACACACGTGTGCTTTAATATTTATGGGTACGAAATTATATTATCATAACTTACTTACATTGCTATATATTTAAGGCTATCACAGTGTATCTTATACTCCATTGGCACAGAAGCAGGTAAATTTAATATCCTCCGGAGTGTATCACGGATACGTGTCGTACTGAAATAATCAGAGGCAGTGCGATTCCAAACGGATAAGGTGCATTCCTGTATGTGACAATGAAAAGATGAAAATATATAATTAATGATTTCAATTTTAAAAGGAGATTGGAAATAAATCATAGATTTGACAAGAATACCACGACGATGATGATGATGATGATGTCAACGAAACCATTGGATAATTCTCTTACCATTTTTATTCTATAGCTGTCTCTTTAGAGAAAAAAAGTAAAAAAACTGTTGTTTTGTTTTCTTTTTTCTTTATTTAATAATTTTTATTACCTTCATCAATTGAATATTTATTGAAATTAATATTTGTTGTTATTATTTCATTTGTTTTTTTTTTGTTGGTTGTTTTCTTTTTTTTTGTTTTTGTATTAGACCAATTAATTGCAGTTTGTTTTTGTTGTTGTTTTTTTAATCAATCCAAATAAAAAAGGAAATACTAATGTAATTAATATAAATTGTTGTTGTTGTTTTTGTTAATTTTACTCACGTTTCTGCATGTTTATATATTTTCTTTTATTACTAACACTTAACTTGTAATTCAATAAATAACTAATATATTTTGTTGTTTGTTTTCATTAATATTTGTAAATTTTTAATATATATTATTTTGTTTTTCATTTTTTGTTTTTTAATTTATATTTTGTCTAAGGAAAGAGAAAAATATATAAGAGTTATTTTGTTTCTGTTAATTTCATTTAAGAATGTTTTTTTTTCAAATTTTTATATATATTTTTAATTAAATTTTTTGTTAAATATATATTTATTTAATTCTTTTAACAATAAATGAGTATTATTTTCGCTAATTTATTTAATTATGTTTTTGTTGTTGCAATAATAGTATTGTGATTTTATTTTGTTGTGTTTGTAAATTATGAAATGTATACACTCGAGAAAAAAGACTGTATGTGTGTGTGTGTGTTTTACTTATGTAGAGAAGACTAGGAGAAATGTGCTTTAGAAAATGCAGCAAAATTACAGACATGCTTAGAACCCACTTGTAGCTATTATAGAAAGGTATTCTTTTTGATTGTTGGAATAGTCAGCCGATGGTCCAATAATGGCAATATGCGGAACATGGCAAAATAATAAGGTGTTTCATCAGATCTACATAATCGAATTTATTTTAAAAAATTATTCGCTTTTTGCTTAGGGTATATCTTTGACAGATCTCAAATAAAGACATTTGTTTTGACAACTAGTCTGATGGTAAACTGTGTCTAATTATTATGCCCTGATATCCTGATATCCATTTACCTCAGCTGATGACTAGACAATTTGCCAAAAGTAAAATACATTGTTGTGAATGAAATCGCAGTACAAAAGATGAACAAATAGACAAATATTATAGCGCCATATATCATAAAAAATAACAGCAGTTTTTCACGAGTTGTTAAATTTTTAAAATGTCAAAATTAGTCTACGTTTTGTTAACTATTTCACAACAAGTATTTTGACAACTAGGGTAGATCTATGGATAATGAAAATAGCACCTACTTTTCCTCGAACTGTCAAAATCGAAAATAAACAGATAATTGAAGTTATTTCAATCACAATGGTTGGCGTTCTTCGCGTTGAACTGTGCAATCGCTCAATAAAGAGGAGATTTTCAATATGTCAAACTTTTTACGTTTTGTTAACTATTTAAGAACAAGAATTTTGACACCCAAGGTAATTATCAGCTGTGATAAATGTATTACTTTTTTTTGGGTCATAAATTTTATGATCAGTAGTTGTTGTTCATAGATTAAAAGACTAGATACGATCATAGAATACATGTTAGATAATTATAATAGAAAAGGTTGTGGGCTAATCATGTATAGGGAAATTTAAGGAAAAAATGTTTAAGAATTTCATCCAATTTAAGATTCGATGAAGCAACTCTCTCCATCAAAATAATATTTAATAGCGGTTTTGATTATTGGTTTGTTGTCATGGTCGTCCTTTTCTATTATTTTTGTATTGCATAAATTTATATGCATATACAGGGAGAGTTAAAAAAAATTTCAGACTGCTGTCATTTCCAAGCCACTCGCCCGACAGCTGTTGAAATTATTCCACTGACAGCTCATTATATTGTTTACAAGCGTATAAAAGCATTTTGGTGAGAATTTTCCAGAAAAAAAGTTATTCGTGATGGAATTCAAGCGTGATAGTGTGATTTCTTTATATTTGGCTGGAAAACCACAAATGGCTAACGTAAGAGCACTCCAGCATTTAAATGTGAATAAATCTTTTGTTTCTCGTACCATCCCTCGTTACCGTGATACGGGTAGCGTAACCCGACGTCAAGGAAGTGGACGGAAGAAAACAGCAACATCAGCAGAAATGGTTCGAAAAGTAAAGAAGCGACTTGATCGAAACCCGCATCGCAGTGGCTGAAAAATGGCTGTGAGCTGAACATATCGCAATATTCCATTCGGCAAATATTGAAAAATGAGCTCGGGGTAAAACCATTGAAATTCCAAAAAGTGCAAGAACTTACACCGCAACAGAAAGAAAATAGACTCAAAAGAGCTAAAGGGTTGCTTCGCTTGGCCGAAAGTGGTGAACTGCCGAATTTGGTTTTATCCGATGAGAAAACATTCGTTGTACAGCAGTTTGTAACCAAAAAAATGAATGAAAAGAATGGTTACAAAATGAGGTTCTTCGCTTCATTTCCAGCGCACAATGGCCACCAAAATCTCCGAATATCAATCCGTTGGTCTACTGTGTCTGCAGTATTTTGAAAAGCAAGGCTGGCACTAAAAAATACCAAAGTGTTGATCACCTCAAGCAAGCGCTTCGCCGGGAATGGGCCAAAATACCGCAGAGCAACATTCGGGCAGCGTGTGATGGTTTCATTGGCCATGGTTTCAAGGCCATAATTGGTGCCAATGGTGACCAATTTGAACAAATCTAAATTTATTCTTAGATTTGATGCTATTTCCGACAGTTTTTGCTTTCATTCAATAACATTTAAAAAAATGTAAAAATTATGGCGTTGGACTTTGTTGCAATTTTTTTTTATCTCACCCTGTATATGTATGAAAATATTTATGATTGGAGGTTTTTGTTTTGTCCTAAACATATAATTGTTGTTCTTCTTGATTATGGAATACAATTAGAAATTAGACAAATAAACCAATTTTAATTTACATATCCTGTGGTTAACTCCATCAACTACCACATACACGAGGAAGTGGCCGATGTGTTAAATGACAAGTGTAACACTTTTATTGTTGTGGCTTAGCATCTTCTTGTTATTGTTCTTGCTTTTGAATGGTAAACAATTGAAATTGCACATTGTTTGTTGTTATTCGTTTGAATACATAATTTATGTTGTTGTTGTTGTATTTGCTAAAATTTTAATTGATTTTTACTCGGTTATCTGTCGTTTGTTGTGGTTCGGGTTTTGTATGGTATTTGGTATGTTTGAGTTTGCAGTACATATATATGTATAATATTGTATATAGGCTAAAGTTGCTTCGTCATTTGTTGTTTGTTGTTGTGTTTTGATTTTATTTTGTATATATTATTTAAAATATTTCATATGTATATATATTTTTTATAAGTTTGTTGTTTTTTATGTAAATTTGTTTTTTATTTGTTTTTGCTTCTTTTAAATATATGTATGCATATAATTTTACATACACACATATAACTGTATTTACATACATGTGTATATAATTATATATGATTCACTTTAATATTCAATTTAAATTTGAAAAAGACTATTATTGCTTATTTTCCGATATAAACGTTATGATTTGTGTTTGTGTGTGTAGGTGTGTGGGTGTGTTAGATATGGGTAACATCTCACAAGAGTTTGAAAATTTAATAAAAATATGTAGTAAATTTAAATTTGCTGGATTGAAATTTAATAGAAACAAATACATATCTTGTTTTGAAAGTTCCCATTAGATTTTCCTAAATATTTTTAATGTGTTTTTGTTTTATTGTTGTATTCTCAGTGGGGTTATTGTTGGTGTTCGATCCTTGACTCAGTTTTCACATACACATATATAGGTTTTTTTTCGTAATATGGAATTTTGCATGTTTTAGTTGTAGAGAAATAAAGATTCTGAACGAAATGTCGAAATGTTATGTTTTCATTTTTGTTTTGCTTTACTGTAAAGAAACCATATTTTTAATTTATTGATATATATTCGACCCCACATAAAACTAGCTTTTTTTGAAATATTTGATATGCTTTTGTTTGGCTACATACTGCACAGTGGGGTCAATACAAGTTGGTTCTTTACTCAAACACAAATTTCAAGAAGATAAAAGGGTTAAAGAAAAAGGCAAAAACAAAAGAGGAAAACTAATAGAAAAAACCATTCTATCCATATTTTTTTCGGAATACAGAGAATCGAATTGGCAAATATTCAATTCCAAATATTGGAAAAGGACTATTTTTTAGAAACGAAATATTTAAAGTAACACTAACATAATGGCATAAATCAATATTTATTTTTCATGTTTTCTTGCCTGTCAATCTAAAATAAAGTATTTCCTTTGGTTTTTTGGTAATATTATATCATAACATTGTGCTATTTTGTTGATGCTAACTGTTTGCTGGGTACATTTTTTGCGGTTTTCTCTTGGGTTTTTGTTTTTTGTAAAATTTATTACAATTAAATTGGCATAATACTAAAGATTTCGAATATGCAATTTGATTTGCATAATATTAAGATGACATTTTGTGGGTTAGATTTAATTTTTAACTGTTGTTATTATTAGTTTTAAATCTAAATGTATTAATTGATCTTTTGTGTGTGTTTTTTGGTTTTATTATTATTTTTTTGTTATCAATGACATTTTTAATTTTTTTCTTTTAAATATATGAATACACAATTACCTATAAGTTTATTCGTTTTTTTTTTCAAATTTCCCCAAAACACGTGGCATTATTTTCCTTGTTTTTTATGTTTTATTTTAAAAGCAAATCTTTTATATTAAAATTATAATAATAATTACACATTAACATAGACACTGAGAAGAAAATAGCTTTAGAATTACTTTTTACCTAAAATTATATAAATCTAGTTCTAATTTTGTATGGATTTTTCTTGATTTTTTATTTAAGACATAAAGAATTGCAAGCTATTTATTTCCATGGGTGGAGGTATGATTTAATTGTTTATTTTTTTTTTTTTTTTGGATAATTTATAACGAAATTTCTTGGAAAAAACTGGAATAATTGGAAAGGGAAGTAACAGTTATTTACATGTACACATAGATCATTTCAAATCTTCTTCTTCGCTCTTGTATTTTATATAAATTTACAAATTTTATTTTATATATTAAAAAAATTATTACACTTGTATTCATTAAAAAAAGTAATAATGTTAATCAAATAATATGAGAATAAAAAATCATAAATTTAATATACTACCACACAGAATCGATTTATTGTTTTGGAAAACATTTAAGTATCTGGGAAAATGATTGTTCAACGATGATTCATTGGCCGACTATAGCACACAATTTAATTTCCAAATTCAATCGTTTTGAATCGTTTTCACACACTTCTATTTTGGTCTATTCTATTTGGGCCACCCTGATCAATGGTCATGACGTTCAATTTAAGTATTAGCATTAATCCTTTATAAAGCTCAAGATTATGACAACTACTAGAACAATAAAGTGACAGATAAAGACGAAAATAATATTTTGTAGTAGCGATTACCCAATCTCTGGTATAAATGAATGCCACTGCCTAAATGAGTGATTTTTTCTACCGATATTGTTTAGGGTTTTTTCTCTTTCAGAGGCTGGATTCTTGTTCCATGAAAATATGAAAGGAAAAATATTTCCTTTATAAAATTTTTCATTTGGCATTTCTTTCCTTTATAAAAGTTTTCATTTCATTTTCATAGAACAAGAATTGAGGCTCAGGACCGGAAGATCTCCGATAGAAGTATTAAAACTTAAAGCGGATATGGAAGAAAGAGAAAATGATCGAAACTAGTGTAAATCTCCTTTGTATCTCTCATTTTTTTTCACTTTATAAAAACTTGTAGATCTAGAATCGCGGATTGGTGACAGGTTTATTTTGAAAGTTTGGTTTTTTTATTTTTCAGGACCGGAAGATCCCCGAAAGAAGTATTTAAACTTAAAGCGGATATGGAAGAATGAGAAAATTATCGAAACTATTGTAAATCTTCTTTGTAACTCTCATTTTGTTTCTCTCTACAAAAACTTGTAGATCTATAGTCGCGGATTGGTGACAAGTTTATTTTTTGAAAGTTAATTTTAAAACCTAATGTGAAAATATTACCAAATATTCAATTACTCACAAATTTTTGGGTAATCCAAAATAGCTATGATTTTGGATCTAAGCCCCATTTGTAAGTTGAACTTACAAATTTCTTTTATTATATCGCCTAAAAATCTTTTTTCATATTTTTAAATAACAAATATTTAATATTTTTCTTAAAAGTGTAATAAAAAGCAACAAATCTAAATTAAATTTTGGCAATCAAACTTTTCACATTATTGTTGGAGAACAGTTTCCATGATTTTTTTTGTTGCTTTATGGCATGTTGCTGCCCTTGATATTATTTGCTTAAACAATACCACATTCTGGCAGGCGTGCAGCATAGCAGAACCGAGAGGTGGAAGGTAATGTGACTTTCAACACTTTTTTGTTTGTTCTGCTTCTGTAAAATTGTTTAATAATTTAGCCAGCTCCTCTTTTGGCACTTTGTTGCTGAAATTGTTGCCAACACTTGGTTGCTACTCCTCCATCTTTGCTCAGATTCCATTTCTGGTTACCGGGCTGAAACAATAAAAAAAGGAAAAAACCATATGGTACAACTGTACAAAGAGTTCACGTTAAAATGAAATTATTGTGTTGAAGAGCGCGCGCGTTCGGATTGTGTGAATCTTTTATAACAAACCATTTTCGATGCTCTGTTGTTTTGGTTGAGGACTCTTTCTTCTTATTACCTCACGTTCCATTGTGATTTTTCATATTTTAATTTGTTCCATTTAAAAAGCGAAATGCTTTTAGTATTTTGGCAAACAACAACAAAAAAAAACCTTTCTCTTTTCGTTCGTCGTACTCATGCGTTTAATGTAATTATCATTTTTGTTCGGAGTCGTAAAGTATATTTGACATGGCCTAACAAGTGAGCCTTTAAGTATGCAATAAATTTGTTACAACAAATATATGTTCTGTATGAAAATTATGTAAATTTGAGCGAAGGTGAATTAATTTAATATATTTTCATGAGGTGTTAATTGGAGAAAGTATATTTTTTAATGTTTATTTGGTAAACAAATAAATGGAATTGTTTTAATATCCTCCATGGCAAAATTTAAAGGATAAATAAATTTTAGCATTTTGTCAGAGATGTCCATAAAGTCAGTCATAAAATATTGAAGGCCAGATTTCACATTACGTTAGAGTAATATAAACAGTGAAATAAAGAGGTAAAAACCTTATATTTTTTAGATTTTTATACCACATTTTAAAGCGCTCCAAACTATTTATAAATTTAAAAGAAGAAGATGTTTACTATACAGTACTATATTATATATTTTTTACTATATTTATTTTTTAGTTTTTACTACATACTACACAGCGTTTCGTTTTAGTTTCATATTTCTTGGTATAAAAGTATGCCATATACAGGGTGAGATGAAAAAACTGCAACCAAATTCAGACTGCTGTCATTTCCAATCCACTCGTCCGACAACTGTTAAAATTATTCCAGTGACAGCTAATTATATTGTTTACAAGAGTACAAAAGCATTTTGGTGAGAATTTTCGAGAAAAAAATTTATTCGTGATGGAATTCAAGCGTGATAGTGTGATTTGTTTATATTTGGCTGGAAAACCACAAGTAGCTATCGTTAGAGTACTCCAGCATTTAAAAGTGAATAAATCTCTTGTGACTCGTACCATCGCTCGTTACCGTGATACTGGTAGCGTAGCCCGACGTCAAGGAAGTGGACGGAAGAAAATAACTACATCAGCAGAAATTGTTCGAAAAGTAAAGATGCGGCTCGTGAGCTAAATACATCGTAATATTCCATTCGCCATTGAAGCCATTGAAATTTCAAAAAGTGCAAGAACTTACAACGCAACTGAAAGCAAATAGACTCAAAAGAGCTAAAGAGTTGCTTCGCTTGGTCGTAAGTGTTGAACTGCCGAATTTGGTTTTTTCCGATGGGAAAACATTCGTTGTCCAGCAGTTTGTAAACAAACAAAATGATCGTGTTTACTTGCCAAAGAGGTCAGCTGAAAATGTGCAACTTCGCTTAGTCATCAGAACTCAAGCGTCGCCATGGTGATGGTGTGGGCCACCATAACAGCCGACGGTCACTCTCCGCTCGTATAATTCGACCGTGACATCAGAATAAATGCCGAATAGTATCGCGAAAATATTCTGGAGGGTGTATTAAAACCTTGGGCAAGCAAACATTTTGGCCACAGAATGGTTTCACCGCCACCCCAGAATGGTTACAAAATAAGGTTCCTCGTTTCATTTCCAGCGCACAATGGCCACCAAAATCTCCGGATACCAATCCGTTGGATTATTTTGTCTGGAGTATGTTTGAAAGAAAGTTGGCACTACAAAACACCAAAGTGTTGATCACCTCAAGCAAGCGTTTTGCCGGGAATGGGACAAAGTACCGCAGAGCAACATTCGGTCAGCGTGTGACGGTCTCATTTGCCGTTTGAAGGCCATAATTCGTGCCAAAGGTGGCCAATTCGAACAAATCTAAACGTATTCTAAAATTCGATGCTATTTTCGACATGTTTTGCCTTCATTCAATAAAATTAAAGAGAGTAAAAAATTACGGCGTTTGACTTTGTTGCAGTTTTTTATCTCACCACGTATATATGGGGGCTATATCCAAATCTGAACCGATCTCGATAAAATTTGGGTAAGGTATTTCTGTTCTGTATTTAATATGTTATCCCAAATATAGTTGTTACAGAGTGAATATTACGGCTGAAAAGGACAAAAATATCAAATCAGATGAACAATATATGTGGGAGCTATAGCTATATCTGAACCGATTTCAATATCTGATTTGGTCGTGTGTGCAAAATTCCATACTAACTGATACTGATATTACACGTTGGGTGCACAATATTCGGACGAATATATATATATATATATATATATATATATATATGGGATAAATTGTGACCGATTATCTCCAATTTCAAAAGGTTTCGTCCTTGGGTCAAATAAATAACTTGTGCATAATTTCATCTGGATCGGGCAATAAATGCGACCTTGTTTACAAAAATACATGGACAGAGAGACGGGCGGACATGCATAAATCGACTCAGAATGTGATTCTATACAGATCATCAAATGGCACTCTGGGTCTATCTCGTTTCCTTTTTGCCTGTTACAAACAAATTCATAAATACATAAATGGCAGGTAAATGACAGCCAAAATAAATTCAACTTTTTTATGGACATACGATAATCCTTGCATTATTCTAATAATTAACTAACCAATGATAATTTAAAAAAATATGCAAAGAAGAACTATTATTTTTTTTAATTATTATTTCCATTAAAAAATAAATATTCATTTATTACAATTTTGTACAACTTTTTTCTTTATGTTTGTCAAATTATAAAAATGCAATATCTAAATTCCATTAACCCCTAAAAATATGCCATAAATTTCCAACGAAATTTATACAATCTAACAATTTAATTGATTTATTCCATTGAGGCAGCAGCTACTGGCGTCAGCTTCACGCTCTCCCCCCCAAATTGTTGACAACATTGTGCTCACACTGAAATGCAAGTATTTCAATGCAGCACATTTAGCTGAAGGCAAAATTCATGGTCAATTGCTCGGTGTATTAATGCAATTAAAAAAATGTGTTTATTTTGTATTTTCAATAAAATTTGATAACATAATGGAATTGCATTAAATTAGTTTTAGTTGCATTACATTTTATGTTTGATTAAAATAATAAATAATATTGCTCATGCTACAAAAGCTTTTTGCAATTTTGATAATGTGCCTATTATTAGGGGTATCTAACTACTTAGATTAACAAAATTTAGTGTAACAAATTTTACATAACCTTGCCTATGGTGACGCATCCTCTAGATTTCGACTTAACCTATTTTATATATTGCATTTTATGACATCTTTAAATTTTTATGCTTTATTTTCTGTTACCGAAGCTCTAAGCAGACGCACCTTTTGTCAACTGAAAACTTTAACGCTTTGTATGACACAAAAGTACATTGATTTGTATGCATGACACATTTAGACATTATGTCTTGTATGACAGCAATATTTCCGCCTATGCCTCTCCACCTAAATATACGTGTTATTTCACTTTAGGACAACTATCAAAATGAAATGTCATAAAACTTTGTAGCTACAAATGCTGATGCATTCAGATAAAAGTATTAAATTTTGCAGTATGGTTTCTACAGGTAAATTACAAATGAACCTAAGTCAGAAATTTGTACATGTAAATGATTATTTAAACTATAAAAATGCACATGATAAATTATTTAAAAATCATTTAAACTGAACCTATTTTAAATATTCTATTTTACTCTTAGCAAGCCTACCAAAAGTGGTATTCTCTATACCGACAAAAATCGGTAATTTTGAAACTCAAAATTATGATATAACAAGTAAGCAAAGGCTACAGTCGAGCGGGGCCGACCGTTGAATACCACAACACTATAATAAACGATACAGTTTATTATAGTGTCACTGTGTGGACATTTTGTAATGGATATTTCACACATTGAATATTTTTGGATGGCCATCCAAAACTGCTTGGCTTTTGCAATGTCCGGTAACCCCCATTCAAATGTGCCTGAGGATCGGGCGATAATTACGACCTGCTGACAATTTTGCAGTTTTTTTGTCCATTTCAACCCCTGAATATATAGCGATCATCTCCAAAATCCCCATGCAAAATTTCGTAAGGATCGGGCCATAAATGCGATCTGTATATAATATCCTGATATCCTAACTACTTAGTTTTGTTAGCTGTAGAAATATTACCAAACGTTTAATTCAAAATGAAAATATGCCACAAAAATATGACAAAATTGAAAAAATATGAGAAAATGTTACAAAATCAATATTTTCAGCTTTAGAGAGATATTTTTATGCGATTTTTTAGGCGTTTTTTTCTTTTCTGCCAAGAGGTCATTCTGAATTAATGAGAACTGTCGAAATCAGTTCAGCCGTTCTCGACATAAAAGAGATCTTTCAAGCATATCTTCTTTGATAGACATATATGTCGCACATATTTTGCTATATATCCGATTTGTTGGATTTTAACATCAATGTAAAGATCAGAAGTAACCCTGTCATGGCTTTGTGATTTCGCCGGGATTTAAAATATTCGCGGTTTAATGAAAAATTTCGAATTTTTTCAATACAAAAGATATGGTCTATTTTACCCGCTAAATATAATCCGATGACCACCCAAATTGGTAGGCTTCTTCCCCGCCCTAAACTCTAGCTACATGCGAATAGCTACTGCAAAATCCGACATTTTTTCAGTATTTGGTCCATTTCAACCCCTAAACATTTGGCGATCATCTCCAAAAGAAATAGGGTTCTATTCTGACATTAACCCCACCTACATTTTAAATTTCGTGAAGATCGGGCCATAATTGCGACCTGTAGAGTGATTACAAATTAACATGGACAGACGGACAGACGGACGGACGGACGGACATACATAGCTAGATCGACTCAGCTCGGCGAGCTAGGACGATCCATATATACTTTCTTATATGGGAAACCAATATTTCG